GGACTCTTTGATCCATTCTACGATTGGTGGGAAGATCATTTCGACTTAGACCATCATCGGAGATTGTTACCACCCACTAGAGAAGACGCTATAAACCGCCGTCATCACCATCACCATCGCCAGCATCGGCATGGTGTCAAAACTCATAATCATCATCGTAGAACACACAAGAGACACAAACACCACCATAACCAAGACGACGACGTTTTGCAGAATATGCTTGAACGTGACCACAACGAGTCTCACTACTACCACCAACTTCACCGAGTCCATAAAGATAGCAAACAGAAGCAGCGTAGACGAGCCAAGCACGGGATCGTCCTGCCACGTGATGTGCACGTGGATAGACGGAAGAGACAAAGGCTACGTGAGAGTTAAGACTCTGAATTCAGTGACAATGTGGAAGAAGCACATTTGTATATTAATATTATATGATATGACTATGATTATTCCACAGTAATATATAGGGATATATACTGAAATTGCATATGTGAGATATTGTGCGTGTGTATTGCTAATGCTAATAACATGTCCCATAAAATTTAATCTTTTTGTTAATAAATAATTCTCATATTTTTTTTTTTTTTAAAAAGAAGAAGTAAAGAATCACACAAAACTACAGTATATACGCTTTAAAAGTAGAATAAAAAAACAATTTAAAATGATGTTAATAATAAAACAATTTATTTTTTAAAAAAAAGGTTAGAACAAGATATACACTGCCTTTTTGGTAAATTGCATGGTAGGGCATAAGTCTATGTTTTAATTTCATGTTTTGGCAAAGTGAAAATTGGTTTTCAAGTTTTGACAATTTAGCTAAAATCTGACCATTTTACCCCTGCCAACGGAACGATGTACTGTTCACTGTACGGTTCAGTTATGCGGTTCAATTACGTACACTGTTCCGGTTAGGCAATATATTTTCGTTTTTAATTGATTTCTGCGGCTGTACAGTGAAAAATGGGGATTAATAACATTAAAAAACAATGAGACATCAGGATTTAATGCCCAAAAAGTTTAGACATGACTCATGTCACAATTAATGCAAAAGTCATCATTACTTTTTCTAATATTAGTTTATATGTGTGAATAGTTGTAAGAGATAAACATGATCCATCAAACAAACAAATTAGTCTGAACGAATGTGATGCTGGAGAAGTTTTGATCTTCTTGATTTACAAAGTTTGGAGCCAAGACAAGCATTGATCGTGTAAGTAATGAAATTGGTTAAGAAGTTTTTTGTTATAACACACTAGAGTCTTGATTGTGTTCGAAATCAACATTGTTTTTATATAAAAACCCAGAATATTTTGATTTCCAATTTTTTTAGTTGAAAATGCTAAATGAGGATAGATTTATGTATATAAGTGTGTAGTTGGGAATTCTTTTTGTTTTTTGTAGATATAATCATGCTTTAATTTGCATTTAATGGGGTTCTGCTGAATTTATGATGCAGGTGGGTAATGGATATTCCCGTATTTACTATGGTGGGTGAGTGGAGATGCAAAGAAGAAGAATGGAAATTTGAACCATGGGAAGGCTGGTTTGGTCGTTGTGTACGTGTTAAGGAAAACATGACGTACACGGAATTCGTACGTACATTATACGAGGTTTTCAGTTTGAAGTCCACCGAATGCAATCCAATAATTAGTTACTGGATGCCGGGAAAGATGTCAGTGATGATAGAAAGTAAACGCCCTTCTTTCTACATTGACAATTAAATGAGCCCGGATACGTTCTTTTTGATTCGTGGTGGGGATCCTAGTGTCAACTTGTTTGTCTCTTTCATTACAACCGTCAAGGCACTAGGGAATAATGTCCCTAGGACTGATGGTGATGATGCTGAAAGTGACCGTGTGTGTGGGAGTGTAAAGACACCAAATCCTATCATAGCGGCTTCAAATGTGGATGCAAATAATGAGGCCGTAGATGAACAAGACGACGTACAAGAAGATAAAACAGATGAGGATGAAGAGGAGGAGGACACCGAAGATGGTGATGGGTATGATGATCATCAGGGCGACGATGGATTTTTTAGTTGAGGAAGAAAAGTATGGTAGATATGTACGTGTTAAAGAAAATATGACGTACACGAATCTGACGTGTACGTTATGTGTGTTATTTAGCTTGAAGTCTACTAAATTTCATCCAAAAATTAATTACTGGATACTGCTAATAATGTCGATGATGATTGAACATAAACGCCCCTATGTCTACATTGACAATCAAATGAGGTTGGATACATTTTATTTTATTCTTAGTGGAGATTCAAGTGTATATATATATGTGTCCTTTTATCCAACACTTCGAGAAAGGTGTGAATAGTGTTTGCATGATAGAAAGCCAACATTGATGAAACCAATCATTGGTTAGAGGTGAAAACACAACAAAAACCATATCGGAGGCTCCAAATGTGAAAAAAACAATAAGAACGTAGACGAGAAAGAAGAAGTAGATGACAATAAAGATGTTGAAAAGAATGATAAAATGACGAAAAAGAGGAGGATGGGGATGAGGAGGACGACGAAAACATCGATGAAGATGACGAGGACAATGACGGATCAAGTGGATGGGAAGAATGTCTTAGAACCGACTATAGACGCTAATAATGAAGATTGCGATTATAACAAGTGGACTAATTTTGTTATTGATAAATATTCAATAGGAAATGTCGGGGAAAATGGTAACACCATCCGACTATGAAACTAATAAGGTAATTCATATCATATACTAGAAACGTGTACGTACACTACTGAACATGTATGTGATAGAAAAAGCATCGATGATTTTTAAAAGATGGTGACATTCAACCATCTTTTAGTCCTAACTGGGAGATATGACATGATTTGGAAGATTGTAAGTACACTAATTACTGTGTAGACGAGGCATTATATGAAGGTGAATATTTGACCAACACGAATACATATGGACATGGTAGAGGTGAAGTGCATGGTAATGGTTTGGTATTGGAGGATCATCAAAGGGGATATTACTTGAATCAAAGTACAGTTTAGTGAATGTGAATGAGTCTTACGAAGTGTATAATTGTTTTTCTACAATGCTAAGCACTAAGCCGAAGAGACTCGATGATGATTTTTCTTTTTTCTTCGACAATTTAACCAATATCTAACTGATAAGAAAGGAGTAAAATAGTACAATATGGAAAGACAAATTTTTGCGGGAAATCCCTATACTCTAAATACCCGGTACCAAATGAGTCCCATGGAAACCAAACCGAATATCTTAATGCTTAGGGCTAGTATTAATTATCATGATGACTATGTATGTTAAGGACGATACAAATATCATTGTTGAGACAATGTACTAGCGTAAATAGGTGCATACACATGCATATTAGGAAAGTTAACTTACACAAGTACATCCATTGGAGACTATGTACGTAAACATGTAATACTGTGTACGTGAGAAACGAGGTAGTGATCATGACAGAGAGAATGGTGTTATTACCACCATGTGTAGCGTCTTGCCAGGAGAGAAGTAAAACTATCACAAACAAGTGAGATTGGAACATTCTTTTTATTCATAGTAGCAATCTAAGTGTAAATTGTATCGTTTTTTCCAACCCGTTAAGGATAGTGTGAATAGTGTGTGCATGATGAATAGCATTGCTGATGAAACTAACCATGGGTCAGAGGTCGAAACAATGAAGAAGTAGATGAGGAAGAAAAAATAGAGGGCGATAAAGAGGATGAAAAGAAAGAAGATGAGGATGACGAAGAGAAGAAAGAGGACGATAAAGATGACGACTATGAACAATAGTAAAGGTAATGGCAAAAATTACATTACAACAAGTGGACTGATTTTTTGTTGAGAAATATGGGATAAGATATGTCAGGAATGTTGGTGACACTCAACTTACTGTGGGGCTAGCATAAAAATTCAGTTGATTATTAGAAACGTGTACGTATATTAATTAACGTGTACGTGATTTATAAAGCATCATTGGTTTACGTAATTAAAGTTGATTATTCGACACATGTACATATACTACTTCACATGTACGTACACAGAAGAAATTCGCTGAAGGGTATAATTGTAATTGTGCAGTCATCTTCCACCTGAGTATTATCTACTTCTGCAACCCTAAATTTACAGCCGTCATTAATCTTCCACCTGAGTATCTACTTCGTCGTTTGTTTTTTTCCCAGCCATTTCGAAGGTTGCTATCTCGCCGGAGGTTTCTCAGTTCCTCTTCGCCGGAAAACCTGCAACTTTCTCTTCGCCGGTTTTTGGAGTTCAATGCGATGCCTCAAATCAAGTAGCGGACAATTCGAACGGGGATGTCGAAAACGAATATGGATGAATGAATTCAGAACTGATTTCTACTTCTCTCTCGAATCTCTCCGTCTCTCTGTCATTGTTCTTCTTCGTTTTCTTGAAAATTTTGTTTTTTGTTTTAATTCAAAACCAAAAGAAACTAAACCGCAAAGTAACTGTGTCGTTTGGTTTAACTCCTTAGGGGCATTTTCGTCATAATTGGCTTAAATGTCAAAACGTGAGAAGCAAATCTCACTTTGCCAAACGGTGAGAACAAATCTTTTTTTTAACACAAACGTGAAAATTTCTTTTTCTTCTTTTTACTCTGTAATTTTGTTGTTTCTTTAAGTTCGGAAAAGCGGTCAAAACTTCTCTGATTCGGTCACCGAGCAGTCGGACAACCCTTCAGTAACCGTTGCGTTTATTTAAATTGTTTAATGAATTTACGTAAGGAAAGTTCAATATATATGTTTTCTTACTTAACGGTTCGACTAAATTAGGTTTCTTATACATTCTAGTTTTTAGCTTGTGAGTTGTGACGTTCTCCTTACAATCGATTCGATCGTTGAACTTCTTATATCATGTTTAGCTCGAGAATTTCTGTTTTAATCCATGATAAAAGAATCCATTGAAAATTATTAAATATTATAGTTTTTTGGTGTTTTCCACCTTTGTCTCTTTACCTTTTTGTTCTACTAGATAATGCAATTCTAATATAGCTAGCTACTGCCGGAACTTTAGTTACAATTAGGTTAAGTAGTTATTTACAAATAAAGCAGTAGTATCAATGTTAGTAGTAGTTTTACTTTGACATTATTCTTTATGTATAATTCTATCGTGTTCAACTGTTCATATTATATTGCAGGATAAAATCCCAATTGAAGAAGTTTTCAAGCAGTTGAAATGCAGCAGAAAAGGTTTATCTGGAGCAGAAGGACAAAAAAGACTCAAGATCTTTGGTCCCAACAAGCTCGAGAAGAAGGAGGTAAAAAGAAAACTTTCATATAAGTTTTGTGTGGCTTAAGCAATAATTAAAGTCGCTAACTATATTTTGGTGGTTTCCAATTAACAACAGGAAAACAAGTTCTTCAGTTTATTGTTTAACCCTATATATTGGGTCATGGTAGGGACTGCAATCATGGCTATTGCGTTGGCTAACGGAGATGGAAGGCCACCGGGTTGGCAAATATTTATCGGTATTGTATTTCTTTTAATGTTGAACACAGTACTTACAGTACTTAGCTATCTCATAATAGAAGACAATGCCGGAAATGCTGTTGCTGCTCTTTCTCCGAAAACAAAGGTCTTCTTTATAAACTCCCTTCATTCTTCTCTTTGCTTCATTGTTCTTATACTCGACATATCTCGATTTGATTGTTTGTTTGCGTTTATATTTCGCGTATACTAGGTAATGGCATGCGCAATACGCGGGTGGTTTAGTTATGTTGTCTATGAAATGAGTAGATTTTTAGTACCCTACTTGTTTTCATATAGTGTCTTGGTGTTAAAAAGAATCTAGCGGTCCACAATTGGAAGAGGAGGACCATAAGTAAACGATAGAAATAGAAGTTTCACAATGTATATTTTTGCTTTTGTTGTCAAGGTTCTAAGAGATGGAAAATGGTCAGAGCAAGAAGCTTCAATTCTTGTTCCTGGAGATATCGTGAGCATCAAGCTTGGTGATATCATTCCTTGTGATGCACGTCTTCTCGAAGGCGATGATTTAAAAGTTGATCAATCTGCTCTAACCGGAGAATCCCTTCCCGCGACAAAAGGTCCAGGAGAAGAAGTTTACTTCGGTTCTACCTGCAAGCAAGGTGAGATGGAAGCAGTTGTTATCACCACTGGAGTCCACACGATTTTTGGTAAAGCGGTTGTCGACAGTACACCAAACCAAGTTGGACATTTCCAGAAAGTTGTATCAGCAGTTGGAAGCTTCTGCATAATTTCCATAGCCATCGGTATTTTGATCGAGCTCGTTGTGATGTACCTGATCCAGCGCAGAAACTTCAGAGACGGAATCGACAATCTTCTGGTTCTTTTGATTGGTGGGATCCCCCCTTGCAATGCCTACTGTGCTCTCTCTGACAATGGCTGTTTGGTCTCGTAGGTTGTATCACCAAGGACTTATCACGAAACGAATGACCGCCATTGAGGAGATGGCCAGTATGGATGTGCTGTGCACCGATAAAACCGGGACTTTGACCCTCAACAAGCTTAGTGTTGAAAAGAAATTGATTGAGGTTTATGCTAAAGGCGTTAAGAAAGAACAAGTTTTGCTTCTCGCTGCGAGAGCTTCAAGAACAGAGAATCAAGATGCTATTGATACCGCTATGGTTGGAATGCTTGCTGATCCAAAAGAGGTATGTATAATAAATTTTAAAACTCTGTTTTTCCTCTGTTTTCGTTCTTGAAGAAAATGTAATCTTTTTCTCATTGTCAGGCAAGAGCTAGAATTATAGAAATTCAATTCTTACCATTCAATCCAGTTGATAAGCGAACGGGTTTAACTTATATCGATGACAACGGAAATTGGCATCGAGTTAGCAAAGGAGCTCCAGAGCAGGTAACTAAAACTAATTCTGTTTTACATTTTAGTACATTATACTGTTTCTATTTAATGACTAAACCGTAAAAACGGATTCTTTGATGATTCAGATTCTTGATCTTTGCAACGCAAGAGCTGATCTGAGGAAGAGAGTCCGCTCTGCAACCGATAAGTACGCTGTGCGTGGACTCGGGTCATTAGCTGTTGCAAGACAGGTGAGGAAAATGTTACATCTTTTGTGTTTTTTTTTGTGCAAAGGAAAATGTTACATCTTGTAACAAATTTCTTTTTTTTTTTTGAATTAAATGTTAAATTAAATTCAAAAGAAAAAATGTCTTTTTTACAACAAGTGCAACTGTAGCTTAAACATGAGCTGATAAGAGAACAGAGATTGAAGTCTATGAGCCTAGCTTCTTGCTTGAAACCAGATTTGGAGGCTTTTATCGTAATGTCTATCACCCATTTTTCGGATTGAGGAGAGTCTGTTCCTCACTTGCCTATCAATCCATTTGATTAGGAGATGAGCTGGGTTTGGTTGATCACCATGCTTGCGTCCATTTCTTTCCCGCCAGATGGAGTAGAGGGTGGCGTGAAGTACATACCGAGCTACAAAGCTCTCTGTTCTGTCATTCCAACCTGCAGAGATTGTGTTGAGGAGAGAATACCAATTAGTTGAGTATCGGGTTTTGTAGAGATTTTTTGCTAGAGCTTCCCAGATTTGAGATATGTAGCCACAGGCAAAGAACAAATGGTCTCGGGATTCTGTTGCGTTGTTACAAAAACAGCAGGTCACCGAAACTCCCCTGTTCCATTGAATCATTCTATCTCCGGTTGACAGTCGATTTCGAGCTGCTAGCCAAACACAGAAAGATAACTTTGGTGTTCCATGTTTGATCCAAACTCCTTTGTGCCAACTGACCGTGGTACCCTCAGTGCGAGTGAGATTCCATGTGTCTTTTGTTGAGAATCTTGGTTTGTATACATTGTTCCTTCCTCGCCACAAAACTATATCCTCTGTTTCATTTCTGCTCTGTTTTTTGGTTGCTAACTCTGCCTCCATTTGATTTAACAGGTCCGATCGGTGCCGACGGCGACGATGACCCTCCCATGCTTCAGCCACCTTCTGGTGTCTACTTATACCCATATCAAGCATACCCCTTTTTCCCACTTCCCAAGCAGCCGGCCTAGAGTTGACCAGTCATCATACCAGAATGATGTGCGTGAGCCATTGTTCACTTCCACCTTACAAAAGGTCTTTGCCAAATCTTTGAATTTTAATAGTTTCTTCCACATCCAAGACCCTATTGTTGTGTTGTTCTTGACAGACCAGAAGGTATCCTTCTTTAATAAAAACTTCTCTATCCACTTAACCCATAGTGAGTTTCCAGGAGAGATAATTTTCCATATAAGCTTCAGGCAGCTTACATCATTCGCTTCTTTTAAAGATCTTAGCCCGAGACCACCTTCTGACTTGGGTTTGCATATATCATCCCATGCTACCTTTGCTTTTCGTGAATTCAAATCTGGCCCAGACCAGAGAAATGATGAGCAGATTTTGTCGATTTCTTGTATGCATTCTCTAGGTAGACGAAATGCAGATAACCAGAAGTTGCAAAGACTCCAAATAACCGAGCTTATCAAGTTAAGTCGGCCTGCAAATGATAGATACCTTGCTGTCCAAGAACTAATTTTTCTCTTAATTTGTTCTATTAGCGGACTGAAATCTGTGGTAGTGAGTCGCTTTGTGAGTAAGGGAAGGCCGAGGTATCTTACCGGAAGACTACCTACTTCAAAATGAAACTGATCCTGAATTTCCTGGTGAGTTGTGTTCAATTGTCCAGCCATGTATATGGTTGACTTCTCCATGCTTATTCTCAAACCAGATTTTTTTAGCAAACTCATCAAAAACCGTCACTATTCCTTTTATGGATCTAACTTTCCCATCCGAGAGTACCATGATGTCGTCCGCAAAACTAAGATGTGTTAGACCAAGTGTCTTGCATTTTGGGTGATAACCAAACTGTCTAGCCGCAGCAGCTTTATCCAGCATTCGAGAAAGAACATCCATACATATGACAAAAAGATACGGAGATAGAGAACAGCCTTGTCGCAACCCTCTCGAACTCTGAAAAAAACCTGCTAGTTCACCATTAACCTGAACCGAGAACGAGGTCGTGGTGATGCAGAGCATAATCCAGTGCACAAATTCCGGGTGAAAATCCATGGCAGCAAGCACATTCTGAAGGAAAGACCATTGAACTGAATCGAAGGCCTTCGAAATATCTATTTTTATTGCACATCGACCCGAAATTGAATCTTTGTGATAGTCCTTAACAAGCTCTGTTGCAAGTAGTAGATTCTCTATCAGAAGTCTATCTTGTACAAACGCCGATTGATTTCCGGCAATGAATGATGGCAGCAGCTTTTTGAGTCTGTTTGCCAAGATTTTCGAGATGACTTTGTATATCACATTGCAACAAGATATTGGCCTGTAATCTTTCATTTCTTTGACCTCCAACTTTTTGGGTATAAGTGCCAGAATTGTGGAATTCACTCCCTTTGGCAGGAAGCCCTTCTCAAAAAAAGATTTTATCGCTAAAACAAATTCTTCTCCAACGATATCCCATGTTGCCTTATAGAATTCACTTGTAAATCCGTCCGGACCCGGTGACTTGTCCTTCGGCATGGAGAACAAAACTCCTTTTATCTCCTCCATAGTGACCTCACTAGTAAGCATTCCCTTATCTGCCAATGAACATCGAAAAGACAATAGTGTTTTCAGCTCATCTTCCGTAACCCCCTCGTAATCATTAGGAATTAGTTGGAGAAATTCTCTAAAAAATCTCTCAGCCTCGCCCTTAATTTCCTCTGGAGCCTTCGTGACAATACCATCTTGCCTTTGAATTTCTCGGATCGTGTTTTGCATCATTCTTGTCATTATTGCCCTGTGAAAAGTTTTATTATTCTGGTCACCTATATCCAACCAATGAAGCTTTGATTTATGTTTCAAAAAATTCTCCTCTAGTCTGGCCAATTTTTCCCACCTTTTATAGGCCTCTGTTTCATCCTCCATTGTCTGCAAGGAAGGGTTTAAAAGATTTAGCTCCTGTTTTTGACACAAAGAATCATAAGCCTCCTTAGATTTCTTCACCAAATCTCCCATTCTTTCCCTTGCAAGATTACGAATCCCTGGTTTTAATGCCTTGAGCTTTTTAGAAAAACGAAACAGAGTTGATGTAGACATAAAAAGGGGTTCTGTTTGTGACCAATACTCCTGCACCATTGGTTGAAACTCCTCCATTTCTATGACTGCATTGACAAATTTGAAAGGTCTTGGACCTTTTACGATTTCTCCCGCACCATCGTTAAGGCTAATCCGACAACGTAAATGATCCGAACACCCTCCTGCTTCGAAAACATTGTACGAATGTGGGAAAGCCTGGGTCCATACCTCATTCACCATCACTCTGTCAAGTTTCTTTAGTATTGGATCATTATCTCTCCTATTACTCCACGTGAACAGAGGTCCATGTGATGCCATGTCTGATATATCACAATAAGTCACCACATTTTGAAAGTCTCGCATACCACTAGTCACCACAGGATTGATATCTCCTTTTGAGTGCTCCTCCATGTCTATAATCACGTTAAAATCTCCAAAAATGATCCATGGTTTGCTGCGAATTATCGGAGAATCCTTGTGATCTCTCAATTCTTCCCATAAACCTTTTCTCTCCTCTGCAAAGTTCGATGCATAAACAAAAGAGCAAAAAAATTCCTCTTCTTGATCTTCAAGTTTGACTGAACATGTTATTAACTGGCCACTTTTGTAGAAAGGACTAAGTCTGACATTACTCTTCCAAACGACCCAAATACGTCCTCGTCTATTAAACTCATAATTTGTCATCACCGACCACCCCTTAAACAGCTTCTCACTCAACTCCTGAGCCTTATTCTCCTGGACGCGTGTTTCAAGTAGACACCCGAATTGAAAACTTTGTTCTCGTACCCATTTCTGTATCACAGAGTGCTTTGAAGTTTCATTTAGACCACGAACATTCCAGAAGAAACTCGACATTTAATGATGCTTTGTAGGGATCCTCTGACTCTGACCACTAGGTGGAAGCCTAGCCAAAAGAGTGGAAGGATTTGAGATTGTTTTATGAGCAGTTTTTGATTCTCTAGGCAGAGAGGGTCGGAGAGGCAAGTCTTTTGTCCCCCTCGACTTAGCGTCTGAATTTTTCCTTTTGTTTTGGTCCGGCAAAGTATGAGATGTGGTTGCAGCTGCTACTATCTCCTCATCCTGCTCCTCCTGCACGTCCACCAACTCCTTACTTTCCTCAAATCTGCTAGGTAGCACTTCATGGTCCTCTTTCTCGCTTAGAACAGAGTATGTATTAGAGAGAATGGAGACTTCTCCATATCGCAACCCCTCTGTTTTTTTCCCCGGACTATGAGTAGATTTGGGGGTTATCCATCCCTCACCTTCCCCTGAATCTACTGCATTTTCCCCTTCAAGAACTGTTTTTTCCTTACTTACTTCTAGTACATCTCCAATAACAGTTCCTGCAGTTGGAGGAGTTGCAAAACTGTTCTGTTCTGCGACCTTAATAGGATTTGAAGCTGTTTCTTTGATTTCTTGATTAGTTTTCTCCGCCGCGAGGCAAGTGTCTGTATTGTGACCCCATTTACCACACCCACCACATCGAGGTGGAAGCCAAGGGTAAGAGTATTTTACCACTGCATCGAGCTCTCCTTCTTCCTCTCCCGTGAATACATACTCTTTCGGTAGATCTTTTGTTAAATCTGCTTTCACTAATATCTGAGCTTCATCAAAACTCACACAAGCTTATGTTTTAGGGTGTAACCTAACCGGTTCCCCCACGGCACTAGCTAGAAATTCTAGCCCTTTATTTGTAAACAATGTTGGAGGGACATCTGAAAGTGTGACCCATAATTGAATTGATTTCATAGCCGGCTGTGATTCTTCAGCAAACGGTGTCCATTTTGATAACACCATTGGTATATCCATAATGTTCCACATTCCTCTGTTGAGTACTCGCCGCCTCATAGCCTCATTCCGAATGCGAAACTTAACAGTTGTTGCATTGACTTCATAGACATCTATTAGTGAGGTTTTGTCTCCCATTCTCCATATTTTATTCACAATCATGTGAATTTTTCCAACATGAGGCGCCTTTGTGCTCAAAAACCGACCTATTAAGAAGTCCTCCCATAGTGGCTTTGCTCCGTTGAACACCTCCCTTGGTACAACAACTCTCTCCTGCCCATCGACTGCATCAATCACGAACTTTTGCTTAGTGAAAACGTGCTTTTTTGCTACATTCAGCCACGTCTTTTTGACTGGCGGAGCCACCGCCTCTGAAATCTGTGGTGGAACGACTTGCTGAGAAGAAGTTCCCTGCTCTGAATCTTTTCCAAGAGTATCGCAACCCAAATCCCCTGAACCTTGAACTGCACCCTCCAGCAGACCCTTCGAACCCATCTCCTGACTCTCAAAAACCAGTTGACTCGTAACCAGATCTATCACCGGTGCCACACCCTCCCCGGAGATGACCGGAGCAGCGGCCGGCTGCGGCATACTTGGTGGATACGCAAAAAACCCTAGTCGCCTGTTATGTCTCTCGCCACGTCAGCACTCTTTCAATTATATCCCCCACCCGCAACAATTTTTCTCATTGTAACAAATTTCTTTAAACTTTTTTTTGTAATTTTTGTGTTTCTTTGTTACAGACTGTACCTCAGAGAACAAAAGAAAGCTCTGGTGGTCCATGGGAATTAGTTGGTGTATTGCCTTTGTTTGATCCTCCAAGACATGATAGTGCAGAAACCATTAAAAGAGCTCTAGACCTCGGTGTCAACGTGAAGATGATTACCGGTTAATATCTTTACTTTTTCGACTTTGCTATTTGCAAAACACCGAGATTTTTTCCTTATGTTTCCATTGGTTTTATAGGTGATCAACTTGCTATTGCGAAAGAGACTGGACGTAGAATTGGTATGGGAACAAACATGTACCCATCCACTTCTTTACTCGGTAACCACAAAGACGAAAGCATCGGTGACCTTACTGTTGATGAGTTGATTGAGAATGCTGATGGCTTTGCTGGTGTCTTTCCAGGTTTGTTTAAGAGCTCTTTTTTCGGTTCCGAAATACAAAACTGCTCTCTCTCTCTATGTAACACTCTCTTTCTATATCCTTGCCAAATTCATTCAAAGCACAAATACGAAATTGTGAAGAAATTGCAAGAGACAAATTTGTGGTATGACTGGTGATGGAATGAATGATGTTCTTGTGTTGAAGAAAGCGGATATCGGTATCACTGTTGCGGATGCTACTGAAGCTGCACGAGCTGCTTCTGATATCGTTCTCACTGAGCCTGGACTCAGTGTTATCATCAACGCGGTTCTAACTAGTCGAGTCCTTTTGCAACAAATGAATCACTACACAGTAAGTGTACATGCTCTTATTAAAACTACACAACCTTTTCACCAATTTCACTTGTTCTAATTAATGTTCTTTCTTTAACAGATTTATGCAGTCTCAATAACCATCCGTGTTGTGGTAAGTAATCAAATCTTGTATGTTTTATTTAAGGGTATATCATTAAATAAATAATCTCTTTGTTTATATATATAATCTCACTTTGTGCCTTTTTTTTTTACAGTTTGGGTTTATGTTCATCACTTTAATATGGAAGTTCGACTTTTCACCATTCTTAGTTTTGGCCATTGCTATCTTCAACGAAGGTGAGATTTTTCTCTTTAAAAAATTTCTCTATTAGCTCTGAAAAACAAACAATAATAAACATTATTAATTACTCAACAGGATGTTTCAACAGCGGGTTCATGAGTACTCTCTCAGACGACAGAGTCATTAATCCTTCTCCTACACAAGATAGCTGGAAACTTAAAGAGATCCTCGCAACCGGCATTGTTCTTGGAAGCTACATGGCTTTAGTGACTGTTGTGTTCTTTTGGGCTGCATACAGAACCGATTTTTTCCCGGTATGTATAAGCAAATCTCTATTCAAATCATAAGACAAACATAATATATAAACTCTTGTTTTTCTTTTATGTAGAGAATGTTCAACGTGAAAGACTTGAGAGGCAATGAACCTGAGATGATGTCTGCTTTATACTTACAAGTCAGTATTATGAGCCAAGCTCTTAACTTCATGATTCGATCGAGAAGCTGGTCTTTCGCAGAATGGCCTGAAATACTACTCTTGGTTATGTCTTTCATGGCATCACAATTTGTAAGTATACAAAACATGATTCTGTTTCTTTTCTTATTCTTTATTTCATTTCATAAAGTCTCTTCAATGATTCATAATATTGACCTTGCAGTATGCAACAATAATCGCGGTTTACGCAAGTTGGGAAACTGCGAGAATCGAGGGAATAGGATGGGAATGGGCTGGTGTTATTTGGCTCTACAACATCAACTTCTATCTTCCATTAGACCTGATAAAATTCACGATCCGTTATATATTAACCGGAAAAGCTTGGGATTATCTCATTGACAACAAGGTACACTTGGTTTTGAACAATGATGCAACAAAACTCAGCTGGAGAATCCTCACCAATCCATCTTGCATCATTGGTCGGATACTAAATGGTAAATACTCAGTCATGGAAGTGTCAACTCCACTCATGGGAGTGTCAACTCCATCGAACGGCTCGAGAGTGCATTGTGCGGTCTAATTTGTTTTGTTTTTTTAAAAAAATTATTTTTTTGGTTTTGGTGTAATTTTCTTTAATTTATCATTTGTTTATTGAAAAGGACAATTCTCATAAATACCACTAAAATATATATGTTTAGTCAAATAAAAATTAGCATTTTAATTTAATGCACAGTTTTAATATTATACCGTATTCTAATTTGGTTTATTTTAAGTGTTTGCTTAAATTGGATACTGATTAAATTAAACCCTTTTTGTAACTCTAATTAAATTGTTTGACCAAGATTTTCTATTTGATTTATGAATTAACTTTTTTTTTTTTTTGATTTATGAATTAACTAAAATTACAATTATATAGTATTATAATAAACCTATAATGTAGGAAATACTCTTTTGAAACTTAAATGTATTTATCAATATTGACTAACTAGTAACAATTGTCCTGCACTTTTAATAATCATCTTAGAACAATAGAGAAACTTCAAGGCTTTTCACACAAATTCACATAAAAAAAAAAAAGCCCAAAAGAGATAAAATTGACTTAAAAATAAAATAAAAGATCTGTAAAACGACGAGTTTCGCCGATCTAATCCCAATTTCATTGCAATTTTCACACACAAAGAAAATACATAACAAACATCATCTTTTTGTTTTCCCCTTCCTCACTCCAAAGTTTCACAATCATTTGTTGCGAACCAAAAAGCTCGTGTGATTCTCCAAATCTTCTTCTTCTCTCTTATGGCGACACCGAATCAGGAAGCAATCGACACTTTCATCAGCATCACCGGCGCTTCAGAGGCCGTCGCTCTTCAGAAACTCGAGGTGATTCGAATTTTACTCATCTCGATTCCTGTTATCCTTTTCTCCTTCTTCGTGATTCTCTATGATTTTGAGATGTTATTTTGTTTTGGTTTCGAAATCTGTTGGAATCGGTAAATAGAAAGTGAAAGTAACGATGAGAGTACGATCGTTTGATTATTAGGATGCTTTTCTCTCACTCGTTTTGTTCGTCTCTCTCGCACAGTTATTTCAATTGGTGATGGTTAGGGTTGTAATCGAAGTTGATTTTCAGAATTTTAGGTCATTGGATGATCTGTTTGAGTTTCTAGAAGGGTTTTTGTTCTTACATTGCTCTTTAGCTCGACATTTCCCCTGAATTATCGCGTTGATCATGTTTAGTACTTGTTCATTGATGATTATATGATTTTCACCAATGTTGACAGAGTTTTTCTTCGAATTTTGAGAGCTGGTTGTAGAGTGGTTTATGCTAGTATCGAATTAGGAAAGTTTGGTTTATTTTTTGTTGTCTTCATGGTTGCCTTATTTTGATTAGGTTGATATGTATCTGTATTAGTATCACTATGTTTAATTTTTCTTTTCTTTTTTTCAAATCTTATGCAGGAACATCGTGGTGATCTTAATCAAGCTGTGAATGCATATTTCGGCGAGGGAGATCGAAATGTGTATGATATGACATCCATCTCACTAATGATTTTTTCTACCTTTTTGTTATCTTTCTCTCTTGCAAATTTATCATTTTTTTTCTGTCTGGTATGTTTTTATGCTCGTTGTGCAGAGTAAGTGAAGCGCCGGTTAATATTTCTCGTGATGATGAAATGGATATAGATGATGTGATTCCGGCTCCACAGTCTCCTTTATCTATGTTCAATGCAGCTAGAACAATGGGCCGTCCCTTTTCGCTTTTGGATTCAGACTTTGCTAGAAGTATATTTGATAACGATCCTCTTATGCCACGCCCTCCGTTTGTTAGTCATCCCAGAGAGGTTAGACAGATACCAATCGAGGTTAAGGATAGCAGTGGACCATCAGGACGATCTAGTGATGCTCCTACTATTGAGGATGTGACAGAAACAACACATGTTCAGGCTCCAGCTACCCAAGGAACTGTTATTATAGACGAAGAGAGTGATGATGATATTCCTTTTGCACCAATGGGACGAAGTAGGCAAGACAGACCTGCTGGTTCTGAAGCCAATAATAATCAAGATTACAATGATATAGAAGAAGAAATGATCAGAGCTGCCATTGAGGCCTCAAAGAAGGAGGCTGAGGTAAGCTTCTCTAAGAGAATGGGCAGTATTGGGGTTTGTCTTGTGTTTTTTTTTGGCTTAATGAAGTAGCTAAATTTATGTGCTTTTATATTGTTTTATAGGGATCAAATAACCCTTTGCTTGAAGAAAGGCCACCTCACGTGGAAGATGATGATGACATAGCAAAAGCTGTTACAATGTCACTGAAGGTCTGGTTGTCTCCTCTCTTTTATTTTTGCTACCATCTTCCTTTTGATCTCTTTTAACATAAGTTAGTGCAGTCAGCAGAGGAAGAAGTTTTGCGCAATCAAGGGCTTATGCCCTCAACCTCAGAAATAGGAACTTCTGAAATGGCTGTTGCTCAAGGACCTCAGGATACCCAAGCCCTGAACGGAAGGTTTGTTGATTCTTCTCTGTAAAGCTTTGCTACTGTGTTATCTCTGAGCTTAATATCTGCAGTTGCAAAAACTTCTGTCAAGCATTTTGTCAACTGATATTTGTCAAAAATCAAGGTCTAACAAATTGTCTTTTGTATTGTCTAGATTGGCAGCACCTAGCTCACCATTTGATGATGACTCTGATGATGTTGATGAGCAACCTCTTGTTAGACACAGGCCAAGACGTGCAGCATCTGGATCTCTGGCTCCACCTAACGCTGATCGTTCCCGGAGTGAGAGTCCTGAAGAAGAAGGTGCAAGTATTAATCCAGCGGAGCGTGGCAGTGGGTTTCCTTCTGAGGTATCCGTTAAATCTGTTTTGTTAATTACAGTGAAAGCAGACTAGAATTCCAGTATTACTTATTGCTAAGAATCCTTGAGTAGCTAGTCCTTGCCATTGCTAATACTCTATTGTGTATGCTCAAGTGGGGAGGCATTTCGTCTGAGGAACATGATGAAGCTGTCATGCTCGAGGCAGCCATGTTTGGTGGCATTCCTGAAACTGGATATAATCATCGTCCATATATACCTCCTCAGCCGTGGGCACAACCCCGTCCACCCTCACCTTCGCTGACAGCTCAGAGGTTAATACGGGAACAGCAGGTTAGGCACCTCTTACTAGCTGCCTGACTAAATCCCTTTATTGTATTGAGGGTTATGGGTGATAATAATATACGTAAGCTGCTACATCGTGCAGGATGATGAGTATCTTGCATCCCTGCAAGCTGACCGAGATAAAGAAATGAAATCCATAAGAGATGCTGAGGCACGTCAGCTAGATGAAGAAACTGCTAGAAAGGCTTTTCTGGAGGAAGAAAAGAAAAAAGAGGAAGAAGTTCAAAGAAAACTCGAGGAGGAACAGGTGCCGCTTCTGTTTTCATATATAAACTCTCTTTCTAAATCCGCGTTGAAACAGAGTTTTTTGTAAATTTTTTGACTGCGGATTGATACCGAGATTCCTTCTAGTAGATAGAGAAAGATCAGCCTAAACACATGCAACTTTGAAACCCCATGCCTGCTTTAGAAATATGGATATCTATACCATAATCTGGTTTACCGTTGCTGTGTTGGGTGGTCTCTGTACCATACAATGATTATGAAAAATAATCTGGTTTAACACAATTGTTAGTGAAAGCAGTTCTCTTGTAACTGATCACGGTTTTTTCCTCTGAATTTTGTTGCAGGAGCTAGAAAGGCAACTAGATGCAAAAGAAGCGTCTCTACCTAAGGAGCCCCAAGCAGATGAAAAGAATGCCATTACCCTTCTAATCCGGATGCCGGATGGCACACGCCGTGGCCGCCGGTTCCTTAAATCCGACAAACTCCAAGTCAGTTTTCCCAAAAGTCCATTTCACTTTGATTTTGCATTACTTAAATTATATCCGTCAATGACCGTTAGTTGCGCTGTATTGCAGTCTCTTTTCAACTTTATAGACATTGCCAGAGTGGTCAAACCCAACACTTACAGACTGGTAAATCTTCTCCCTCTCTATAAATAGATCTCTCTCTTTTGTCGAATAGAACCCTGCTTATAGGAAGTTATGAGTGCCGGTTCCAATTTCTGAATGAGGTCAATGACCCAGTGTGGTTTAGACTCTAGACTCGATCCATCCTGGCCCTGTGGCTAGGCCAGCCAGCGGTTAGCTGTGCCATAATGTAAAGCAAAAATGATATGCTTAACCGGTTTGGTCCAAAATCAGTCAGCATCTGTCAAGGTCTGAAGTTTTGGTGTGGTGAAACAGGTGAGGCCATATCCGAGGAAAGCGTTTGGGGATGGAGAAAGTGAGTCAACTCTGAACGATCTTGGATTGACCAGCAAACAAGAAGCACTGTTCCTTGAGCTTATCTGAGCAAGTTTAAAGTTCTTAAATATAAGACTCTTTAATTTTTAAGTTATTACTTCTTTCTATACAAGAATAGTAATTGTTGGTGCGATTATAATCTATAAAACCGTTTTCCAGTTGTACATACAGTATACATTACTGCCTAATCTCTGGCTCTCTCGTTCTCTAGTATAATTTTTATCATCTTCGATTTTCTTATAATTTGGTGTTTTGTGAATCAAGAAGCTTTGTGTCTGCAGACCAAAAAGCAACCAGAAATGATATTACCATGTTCAAGCAATACCTCATGATTTTGTTCATCAAAAAGTAGCGGTAACAACTTGCACTATATCATATGGCTTGGAAAGTCTAAGTACAAACATGACACCACTCAACGTTCCCATAAATCTCCTGTTCCTTGCGTGACTTGCGTTATTCAAGCACAATCTCAGCAGACCAAATCATCATCTACTTAGTGCCTATACCACGCACATTCTTCTCCCGCGAAACCATGAATTGATCAGCAAGATACATACATGAGTCTTTTGGTTGATTATTCTACAAGCGATCGAAGGTATTTGTACTCTAGAGAGTTGAAACTCTTTTAAGTGCTTGAAGTAGCCAAATCTGATTTTTGTGAATTAAAAAGCTAACAGTTTTTTACGTGGATGTAATGTGGTCAATCAAGCAGAGATGATAACAAAACATAACTGAGAACAAGTCCAAAACAGAGTACTTGTAAAGGAGAGAAACAGAGCAACGTCATATGCATTATATAGAAAATCCATTACATTTATAACCCAAAAGAAGTAAAAAAAAAAAAAAAATCATTCAATCAAAATTGAAAACAGTGATAATAATCTAAGGTTCATTCATCAAAGAGTGACAGCATTAAATTGTAACAAAGAACATGACTTGGGGACTGTAAGCACAACATTACACCACTCAATCTTCCCACAGATCTCTTGTGTATTGTGTCTTTCAAGCGCAATCTCACCACACCAAATCATCTTTTTGTTAGAGCCTATAGCACGCACTTTCTTCTCCCACAAAACCGCAATTTTTCCACCACAATCCACCATTCCACCAATCTAATATATCTAGAACGTTTTGGTAATTTAGGTAATGTTTTCAAACCCTTCAAAAATCTCCACGATCGTCCCTCGGTGTCGTAACATATGATCCTTCTGGAAAGTACAGTATAGACTACATGCATTATCTATCACGCAAGAAGAAGAATTGCGAACCCAGCGCAAACACTTCTCCAATCCTACTACATCCCATATTTGTTCTTTAGGCTTGTAAACCGTACTTTTATACCCAAACAGGTAAAGTTTTTCGCCAAGAACTAAACTTCTTGTTATATAACTCCCACGTAACTCCTCGCTAGGGATTGGAACATGCTCCCATATTTGGATTTTGGGATCGAAAAACTCGATCAAATTCGAGGGATCGGCAACATTCTTGCGGTCCACGACATATATTTTTCCATCAAGAACACTTACGAGTGGGCACTTTCGGGACATCTGCATGCTTGGAGCTTCGTGCCAGGTGTGAGACCGACAGTCCAAGATGAAGACCCTAGACGAGACCGCACCATCGATGTGGCCGCCGATCATGTAGATATTAGAACCAATTGTGGTACCCAAGGTACTAGTCAACCCAAACTGAGGACAATCGTTGCGAATTGGGACTGAGACCATAAACTTTTCACTTGACTTGTTTTCTTCTTTCCTAGTGCGATTCTTTAGGATTTTATATGGTCTAAAACAAGACGTGAACCATCGTGAGTTAGGGTTACGGCTAGGGTTTGGGATTGGAGTTGGTTTTCGGCATAAAGTGAACCAACATGGCTTAGATTCAGAACTCAAACGTAAGGATACATAAAGACAATTCTCAGTGCGTCCTAAGAGCGTTCGGATATCGTAAAGCTCAAGCGATGTAAGGAGCGAGCGATATCTCTTGGAAACTAAGGAGAGAATCGGGTAGTACAATCTCGGGATGCGAGCTAAGCAGTTCATCAGGAAGATAAAGCAAATCAACCGGTGAATTCGTCATGAGCAAAAGACGCTTAGAGAGTAATCAAACTCCAAGACTCTTAACAACGTTCTACTGGAATTTAACAACGACAAAAGAAATAAAAACAACTTTATACTCGAGATATATATTTCTTAAAAACCTAGTTGAACTATAACGCTTAATCCTATACTAAATTAGGCCCACTATAACTCTTATCTTATACTAAATTAGGCCCGCTTAAAAAATAAGCGTCGTTTTGGAACTTTGGCATATATAGTACATACTAAGCATTCATATAAATTTTTTTTTTTTTTTTTTCGCAACTAAGCATTCATATAATTATTGTCGCATCAGAATCATCTTTGGTTTCCGTATTTTAAACAAATATCGGAATTGTCTTCTTCCTAAACACGTGCAATTTCTGCTTTGTATCCGATTTTGGTTGTTGGTTTTACAACCAACGACAATGGTAATACGTTCTTCTTTTTTTTTTTTTCTTTTTTTTTTCTTTTTTTCAGCAAAATATACACGTTCTTCTATCTATGTTAATTTATATATTTTCTATTGTATTTGCATGAACTATATTAACAACGATTTCATTTACTAAGTTTTTTCTTTATTCACAACAATTTACAGATGAAAATGATGAAGACATTATTCCTTGATCAACTCAAAACTCTCACGTATAATAAATGCTTGGATCATTGGCTCATTGCATCATTTTTTATTTTTATTGTTAGATGTTGGATTTGATTTAGCAATCGAGACCTCTAAAATAAAGGGAAAAAATATAGTATGGTATTATACAATATGTTAAGAGTTAAGACGAGTTACACGGTCCGAGATAAGTTTGGTGTTTACTCTTTATTTAAATTTTACATTGTTGCAACGAAATTTAAGGGGATTGTGTTCCATATGTTTCTTTTTAAACTCTTCTCCTCTTGATTAAATCACCCATCATAAAATTTCTATTTTAGTTTAGTGTTGTGATTAACATAAATAATTATGTGGTTCTAAGATTTTTCCATATTAGATGAGCAAAAAATTGGAATTCACGGAGAACCACGTCTTTTTTATAACCAAAATTTAAGGATGCATCAAAAAATAGACACATCTAACATTCCTTATATATACTTGTAATCTTTCTTCTCTTTTCTTTAACTTTTAAAACATTATTATCAATTCGTTAACAAAATATTAACAAAAAAAAAAAAAAAATCTATTCGTCCATAGCATTTGAGATGAAGAAACCCAGTCAACTATCGGCCACCATTCTTACCATCTTCACCATCCTTGCTATAGGTTTGTACTTATATTTACAACCATTTAAATATTTATATATTATATCTTACGAAAATAAATATTAAACACTATAATTGCTTAGCTAGGAGAACATAATGAAACTCAAAAAGTAATTCAAAAGCCATAGCACCCATAGTTTGTGGATCGGATAACTTTATTTTCTTCCCAATATTGCATATCCATTATCCAAAAAAATATATATATATATATAGGATATCCAATATTTTATTAATGTAAGCAAAATTATTTAAACATTAATCTTCAAATAGAAACTAACATTTTAATTTAGAGGAATTCCTCAAAATACCACCATTTTAGTTTTCTTTCCAAAAATATCACTAATATCAAATTATTGTTCATAGGTGGGAATTTTAAATCCTTGGTTTGGGTTGATTATTTTGCAATTTAGGGTTTAGTATTTATGGGGTAGGGTTTACTGTTTAGAATTTGAAATTTAAAGTTTAAAAATTTTAAATTTTATTTTATTTTGGTGATATTTTTGTCCTAAAAACAAAAATGGTGGTATTTTAGAGAAGTGCCCTTTAATTTATGTCTTAATAGGGGTGATGGTGAAGGAAACAGTAGGACAGGCGCCACATAATTGTGTTGAAATTCTTAAAGAAGCTTCAAAGGGTGCAACATGCGACGCCAAATTGTGTGCCTCTCAATGTCGTCAGAAATTCCCTGCAGCAGGCGGGTTTGGTGAATGCAATTCAAATAGAGGACAAGTCGAATGCCAATGCAAATTCTATTGTAAATCGGATGGGAGTCCAATCACCAACTAGATTTATCAGACCATCAGATCACCAAGTTAATTTCATGGAACACAAGTCTATCAAAATTTTTGTTTTGTAATAGTTGTATTTAACAATACTAAATAAGTAGACCATGACATTGTTACTTTCGTAACATAAGTTTGAATTCAGATAATGTATGATTTTGAATAAAATAGTAAATAAATTTATATTGATCATCATATATCTTTTGTGTATATCCTATTAATTAATTAATTTTCCATTTTAAATATTTTACATATTTATTTTATAATTTAGTATCCTAGTTTTTTTTCTCAGTCACTCTTTTTATTTGGCCAAAATTAAATAAAGCTGAAGGTGGAATCTGATAGATTGGAACCCTTTTTCGTTAATATTTGAAAGAATGACTGCAATGTAAACTTCATTAAGAGTTTGTACATTCTGACAACTAATATTACAGGATAGTCTAGCAAATAGACTAATCCCCTTCTGAGATGCAACTAGTCCCTTTCTCTTAACCAAAGTCAAGTACAAGGGTCAATATTCATCGATAATGGGTACGAAGCATTACAATCAAACCATCAAAACCACTACACACCCAAGACGCAAGGGTTAGTTGGTGAAGGAAGCATAGTCACAAAAGAGTTGGTTCATTCATTTTATGAAACACAAGTGTTAGACGTAAGAAATACAACACTCTTAGACTAGGAAGTTCAGTCTTTATCTAGAATTATACACACTCTAAGTGGCGAGACAATAAAAATATTTAATTTAACCTCTACGATGATGAATCAATAAGCATTAAACATACCTAACCATCACCTATAACTGCACTACTCACTAATGGTCATGCAACAAAAACAACAAATGCATAAAGTAAAGACAATAAAGTGGCCGATTGTCTCTGCAACTCCGTAGATTACTTTTTTTTTTGCATCAACCGAACGACCGGTCGTTTCAGGGGAAGTGGTCAAATTTACACATTCATTTATATTTTTGGGGATACATGTTTGTAATTGAGACATTCAATTATTAGATTTCTCCACAAAACAGAAGAGTCACAGATTAGTTAAGTGAGAAAAATTTATGATTGATTCTCTACTAGCCATGAGACCCATGACCGAGGGTATTTGCTACTTAGCTGGAGAGTCAAAATCTCTTGAAGTAACCAAATCTGATGTTTTGTGAGCAAAAAGCAAACAATATTTAACATGGCTGCTTAGTTTAAAACAGAGCGAAGCAGAGAAGAGAAATTGGTTGTGATGTGGTGATTTACTTTAAAAAATCATTCAATAAAAATTAATTAAAAGCGTAATGATATTAATGGCTAACGTACTATTCAATAATCAAACATTAACAGCAACAACTTCAAATAAATAACATGACTTGGAGACTGTAAGCACAACATCGCACCACTCAATCTTCCCATAAATCTCTTGTGTGTTGCGCCTTTCAAGCGCAATCACAGCACACCAAATCATCTTCTTGTTAGAGCCGCCGATAGCACGCACTTTCTTTTCCCACAAAACCGCAATCTTTCCGCCATAATTCACCAATCTAACACCACTATGAAGCGTTGATAATTTACGAAATTCTTCCAAACCCTCCAAAACTCTCCATGGTCTATTCTCGGAGTTGTACCATAGGAACGTTTCACCAAATAGAACGTACTATACATTATCTATCACGCAAGAAGAAGAAATGGTAACCAACCACAAAAGCTTCTCCAATCCTACCACATCCCATGTATTTTCTTTAGGCTTGTAAACCACACTTCTATACCCAAACTGGCCAAACAGGTAAAGCTTTTCGTCAAGAACTAAACTTCTTGCTATATAACTCCCAGTTATCTCCGCGCTAGGGTTTGGTACTTGCTCCCATATTTGTTTTTTGGGATCGAAAAAGTCAATCAAATTCGAGGAATCGGAAACATTCCTGTCATCCACGACATATATTTTCCCATCAAGAACATTTACAAAGGGGTAGTTTCGAGCCACCGGCATGCTTGGAGCTTCGTGCCAAGTGTGAGACCGACAGTCGAAGAAGAAGACCCTAGACGAGGGCGCACCATTGATGTATCCGCCAATCATGTAGATATAAGAACCAATGGCTGTACTAGTCAACCAAGACAGAGGACAATAATTGCAAGCTGGGACTGAGACCATAACGTTTTCACTTTAACTTCTTTTCTTTCTTGCTAGTGAGATTTGTTAGGATTGGTTTAAAGCAGGTGAACCATCGTGAGTTAAGATTAGGGTTAGGTTCATGGTCAAAGGTTCGAGTTGGTCTTCGACATAGAGTGTACCAACTCAAAGTTATGATTGCTAGAACTTAGAATATAAAGAACAACACTTCTTTATTAGATTTAGAAACTCTCACAAAACTAAATCTCTTCTCTCTAAGTCTCATGGAACATCCTTCCATGGACCCTTGTATTATATAGAACTTGGACATCTCCCAAGTCTATTAGGATTAGGTAAAACACAAACTCTATCTAGATACTTTATCATTATCTAAAACATATTTGTGAATATCCTTACTTATCTCTAGAAGCTTCTTCTTCTAAGAGATAACTTTTTTCTTTAAGTCTTGAATTATCCAACATTCTCCCCCTTAATTCCAACTTGAATTTTTGGGAGTCTTGATCTCTTCAACACCGATTAGGTCCCGCATTTCCTTGAACTTGAATCTTAATGGCTTGGTAAGAATGTCCGCCTTTTGGACCTCTCCGGGTACATGCTCAACTTCGATTTGTCCGTCTTCCACACATTCTCGAATAAAATGAAACTTCGAAAGTATGTGCTTACTTCTCCCATGAAACACCGGATTCTTGGTCAAAGCTATAGCCGATTTATTGTCAATCCTTAGTAAGACCTTCTCGCCTTCAACGCTTAGTATCTCACTCAACAATTCTTTAAGCCATATAGCTTGTTTCGCGGCTTCCGTAGCTGCCATGAATTCCGCTTCGCATGAGGACAATGCGACCTTAGGTTGCTTTTGCGATGTCCAAGTAATCGGTGATGAACCAAAGTAGAAAACGTGTCCCGAGGTGCTTCTTCCGTCGTCAATATCAACATTGTGACTACTATCACTATATCCGGTGATTCTCCTTGACCCGTCTCTCTTGAAAAACAAACCAAAGTTTGTTGTTCCTCTTACATACCTTAATATATGCTTGACCGCAATCCCATGAGAATTTCTTGGACTTTGCATATACCGGCTTAGAACTCCAACAGCAAAGGAGAGATCCGGTCTTGTGTGTAGGAGGTACCTAAGACAACCAATGGTTCGTCTATACTCGGTTGCATCAATCTCTGGTTCTTCTTCCAACTTGTTGATCTTTTGACTTGGATGCATTGGTGTATGAGTCAAGTTACACGATTCCATCTTAGCATTAATAAGAATTCCTTGAGCGTATCTTTCTTGCTTTATCTTTATCCCATCCACTCCTTGAATCACTTCTATGCCAAGATAATACGTTAACTTCCCTAGATCCGACATCTCGAATTTCTTTGACATATCTTCTTTGAATTTGTTGATGACCTTAAGTGTGGTTCCCGTCACAAACAAATCATCCACGTAGATAGCCACAATCAAGACGTCCTTCTTGTCGTTCTTCCGATATACCGTCGGTTCCTTGATACACTTGTTGAAGCCCATCTCTCTTAAGACTTGGTCGAGTTTCACATTCCATGCTCGAGGAGCTTGTCGTAAGCCGTATAGAGCCTTGTAAAGTTGATACACTCGATCTTCCTCACCTTTCCTCACAAAACCTTCCGGTTGAGTTACGTAGACTAACTCCTTTAAGTCTCCGTTTAAGAATGCAATTTTCACGTCTAGGTGGTGAATCTCCCAACCATTTGTTGCTGCTAAGGCTATGAGAAGGCGTATAGTTTCAAGACGTGCCACCGGAGCAAACACTTCATCAAAATCTACGCCTTGTTGTTGTACATAGCCTTTAGCTACAAGCCTTGCCTTGTATTTATTAACCGAGCCATCCGCTTTCTTCTTGATCTTATAAATCCACTTAAGACCAATAGGTTTAACATCAACCGGTTTATCAACGAGTTCCCATGTCTTGTTCTTGAGAATTGAATCCAACTCGGCTTGCATTGCATCAATCCATTCCTTTTGATGTTCAGCTTCAAAGTAATTTTCGGGTTCTCCGTCTACCGTAAGTAGTAACCTACCACTTTCTTGTTCTGCAAGCAACACATAATCATCAAGGTAGCTAGGTTGTCTTATCGTATGGCCATATCTAGTCACTACTTGTTGATTCTCTGCTCCTTGATTCACGGCATTGTCAACATGTTCCTCTTCTTCTACCTCTTCTTCCTCGTCTTGGTCTATAGGATCTTGATCCGGATTATGGTTTTCATTGGCTTGATCATCACCATATCCATCTCCATTATCTATAATACCTCCACGAGTGAGTTTAAACATACCCGGTTCACCATTGGATTCACTTGTTGTAGATGACCAGTTCCAAGCTTTCTTTTCATCGAAGACCACGTCTCTACTAACAATTACTTTCCTTGAGACCGGGTCATAGAGTCTATAGGCTTTAGAACCCGGCTCGGTTCCAAGATTGACCACGCTCCTTGACCTTTCATCTAGCTTCTTAAGATGTGGTCCATTGATTTTAGCGTAGGCCATACAACCAAAGACTCTCAAATGTTCTATGTTCGGTTTCTTGAACGTGAAGCACTCGTAAGACGTTTGACCCTTCAAAGCCTTAGTAGGAACTCGATTAATGAGGTAAGTTGAATGACGAACAGCTTCTCCCCATAAGTGATTCGGAATCCTCATTGCCTTAAGTAAGCTTCTTGTCATCTCCATTAATGTCCGGTTTCTTCTTTCAACTACACCATTTTGTTGTGGTATGTAAGGAGCAGTAAGATGTCTTGTTATTCCTTTTTCTTCACAAAAGGAAGTGAATTGAGCTGAGGTAAACTCTCCTCCTCTATCGGTGCGAAAAGTTTTCACGGTTAACCCGGTTTGTTTCTCCACAACTTCTTTAAACTTTTTAAACCGATCGAACGCCTCACTCTTTTCCTTTAGCAACATGGTCCACATGTACCTAGAAAAATCATCAATTAAGACGAATACATACCGGTTGTTAGCTAGTGTTGGTGGTGAGATTGGCCCGCATAAGTCGCCATGAACTAGTTCCAATGCTTGTGCCGCACGGAAGCTTGTTTTTATCGGGAATGAATTTCTTGTTTGTTTTCCGGCTAAGCACACGTCACACACACTCTTTTCATGTAGAGTTCGTGGCATTCCTTCGACCATCTCCTTTTGTACCATATTATTCATGACACCAAAGCTCACATGTCCAAGTCTTGAGTGCCACTTCCATGTTTCTTCATCATCACGTAAAAGTAGACACATTGGACTGCTTATTTTCATCGGGGTTTTGTAGAGTCGGTTTGGAGATCTTGTGACTCTTACAAGCAACGTTCCACATGGATCACTTAGTGTTAACACGTCTTCTTTCATGTGTACTTCGCACCCACCTTCAGTTGCTTGTCCAAGACTCAATATGTTGTGTTTTAGCTCGGGTATGAGATAGATGTCTTTGAGAGCTCTTTTCTCTCCGGTCTTGCACACAAAGACAATCGTTCCTTTGCCAATGATATTCACACACGAGCCATCGCCAAACCTCACTTTACCTTTTACGTTCTCATCTAGGTTTGAGAAGAAATCTTTGTTCCCCGACATGTGGTTACTTGCACCGGTATCTAAATACCAAATACTCGAGTTGTTATTAGTATCATAGTTCTTAGGGATTACCTTATCTTCGTTAAGGAATACGACTTCATGGACATATAAGGCATCGGCTTCTTGTGTCTCGTTTAGGTTAGCTTCTTGGTTTTGCATTGGTTTCTCGGGACATGTCAATGCAAAGTGACCCGCTTTGTCACATCTCCAACATATTACCTTGGAACGATCTCTTTTCGATTTTGGTTTTTCTTCCGCAGCTGTTGCTCCTTGACCTTGGCTATTGAATCTCCCTCGACCCCTACCTCTACCAAAGTTTCCTCTGCCCCTACCAAAACCTCGTCCTCCTCTGTTTCCGTAACCTCCTCTGTTTCCGCCGTAGCCTCCGTGGCTATTGTTTGAAAACAAGAGTTTACTTTGATCCTCTCCTTGAGTCTCATCCCTTATACGCTCATCGTAAGCTTTTATTCTCCCTACTATGTCTTCAAATCCCGTTGTTTCTAAGTCTAGGACTTGCTCAAGAGAAGCTACAATTTGTATGAATTTTCCTCTAGGAAGACTTGTCAAGAACTTCTTCACCAACTTCGATTCGTCAATTGTATTTCCGAGAGAAGCAGATTGGGAAGCTATTCCCGAAATCTTTCCCGCAAAGTCATCAACCGAGTCGGTGTCTTCCATCTTCAACCGATCGAGTTGTGTCATTAGGGTTTGGAGTCTCGCCACTTTAACACGGTCTGCTCCCTGGTGACGAGATTTGATCGCAGCCCACACCAACTTTGCCGTGCCTTGTTCTCCAATTTGTAGGATGAGGCTCTCGGGGATTGATTGAAATAGAAGAGCTGTCGCTACATCGTTCTTCTTTCTGTCCGTTGATCCTGGTTCTATGGTGTCCCATACTTCGCTTACTCTTAACAAGATCTTCATCCTCATCGCCCAAACTGTATAGTTTGTTGTTGTTAACATAGGGCATTGGATCGTTGGGGCTCCATTGTCTTTTGTTCGTGTTGAAGGTTCCACGTCTCCCATCTTGGATACGTGAAGCTTTGATCGTCGTCTTCGATCGGTACTTCTCCTTCAAGCTCTAATACCAATTCAAAGTTATGATTGCTAGAACTTAGAATATAAAGAACAACACTTCTTTATTAGATTTAGAAACTCTCACAAAACTAAATCTCTTCTCTCTAAGTCTCATAACATCCTTCCATGGACCCTTGTATTATATAGAACTTGGACATCTCCCAAGTCTATTAGGATTAGGTAAAACACAAACTCTATCTAGATACTTTATCATTATCTAAAACATATTTGTGAATATCCTTACTTATCTCTAGAAGCTTCTTCTTCTAAGAGATAACTTTTTTCTTTAAGTCTTGAATTATCCAACACCAACATGGCTTAGATTCAGAACTGAAATATAAGCACATATAAAGACAATTCTCGGTGCGTCCTAAGACTATTCGGATGTCGTGAAGCTCAAGTGATGTAACGAGAGAGCGGAATCTCTTGGAAACTAAGGAAAGAATTGGGTAGTACAATCTCGAGACACGAGCTAAGCAGTGCAACAGTATATCATCTGGAAGGTAAGGCATATTAAACGTTGAAGACTCTTTGCCGTTCGTCATTAGCAGAAAATACTAAGAACGTAATCAAACTCGAAGAGGAGCCGTATTAAGTACTTTTGGAGAAATCTTTCCTAACTCTACTTGAACTCGTAACTCTTTATCTTGTAATTAATCGATTTAGATATTATCTAAGTCCTATTAGGAAATCTTCACGTAACAAGACCGAACCGGATAGAGCAAATACAGTATGGTTTAAATTTTTTATTTATTTATTTAGATGGTTAATGATGAATTGATCTGCAAGGTATTTGGATTGGACTAGAGCTTTTAAAATATCAAAGTGTATATATGTTTTTAACCAAGATCATGTTGGGCTGGGCTAAAATATTATGCTCGGTACTTTTCTTTACAAATGGCATGTTCGGTTCGTTACAAATGCTCAATCTGGTTCACTATTTCTAACTCAATAGATATAAATTTCGTAACTCGGTCCGGTACATTATGTCGTTTGGCCTTACCAATGTGAATTTTCATTCTTATAAACGTAAACGTAAAAACAAATAATCATAATCTCAGAGATATAAAAAATAAATAAAAAATTGTCATGCCCTCGCTGGTCGGGCGAGTTACCTAGTATTATATAAATAACAAAAAAAAAAATTACGAGCTGAATTTAAGAATCAGTTATAATGTAAGTTTATCATAATATCTAATATTTTCCGTAATTTTAGAAAAAAATATATATGTAAATAACTGGTTCAAAATTTTAAAAACCAGTTATAATTTTTTTCTTTGGTCGGGAAACAGTTATAATTAATTATTTGGTTTATAGTGTAAAGTTATTTACATTGTTTTTTGTTACAAAAGCTCAAATATTTTAATGGTTGACAATTTTTATTACTAGGATTTTCTTATCAATTTATTATTATTTTTTCTAGACTAATAAACAAGTCAAGTATAATAATTTAGTAAAAAAATTTGAGTCATATTATTTGCAAAATTAAAAAAGAAAATTCTAGGACAGAATGATAAATTTAGTAATCTCATTAAGTTTTACATCTATGGGACTTTAAAATTGGCAGAAAAAAATGTAGAATTTGATGAAATTAAATATAAGAAAATGAGACCTTGCATTTTTTTTTTTTTGGTAGAAAAATGAGACCTTTGCATTAGGAAAGTCAAAAGTGAGTTATGAGGTCAAAAGTTGTAGGTGCTTTACACGTGTTCTGTTTAATGTCGACCTTATATGTTGTAAATGGGCTTATTGGGCTCCAAAATGGGGTACTGATTTTGCCTCACAGGCTTAAATAAGATCGGTTTGTTGCCAAAAAATATTAAAAAGTAATAGCCGTTTGCGTTTTCCCCCTTAGTATCCCATTTATTAAGGCCGATCGAGAGAAATTAGGGTTCTAACATTCTAAAAAAGCTCGGATCTTGTTTCCAAAAAAGCTCGGATCTTTGTTTCCAAAAAGCTCGGATCTTGTTTCATTTTGTCTCGCACAATGGATAAATCGCAGAAAAAGCCTAACAAAATCTCAGGTAAATCCCGTGTATCAAGGAATTAAAGAATCGTTTGTTGATTGTTTCCCAGTCCTTGGGATTTAGTCTCGCGATTTAGATAATATTGTACAGATAATGGTCTGATTTTAATCCCGTATATTAAGAAATTAAAGAATGGTGCGTGATTGTAGGGATTTAGCTAATAATTCGTCAGATTTCAATCTTAATTTAGTCCTTGTTGTTTTTGCTGAGTCAGACTCGAATAAACCATATTACTCGGAGGTAGCGGCTGGTCTTATGACCAGTCTCAAGGACTGGGAAAGAATTCCCAAGGCATAAAAGAGCCGATACAAGCCCTTATACGTCCTAAGGGACTGGGACTCGGGTATGTGGATGATGATATGCTCGTGCCTCCTCCACCTCCTCATATACCTCTTCTTGCACCTGCACCTGAACCAGAATTGGTGCCTCTTTTACCTGATATAGCTTCACCTAAAGTTGTAGCTGAAGCAAAAGGGCCTCCCAACGATGATGAGAGAACAGAGATTATCCAAGCAGAAGCACGCAAGGCTTGGGAAGAGTTAGTTTCTACTGTGCGAGGTAGAGAGTTTTGGGGACCCGAACCCTTAAAGCAGGAGACGCCCGCTGAAGATGATGTTCTTATCAATAACCATACCATGGTTTGGGGTTCATATTGGAAAGATCACAAATGGGGGTTTGGTTGTTGTAAAAATTTCACTAAGGAGAGTTTCTGTCAACCTCCTGAGTGTAACTCTGACTTCCCTGCTTCTACTTTCAGTCATGAGTTTACCCATCAAATACAGGTATCACTTTGTGTTTATAGCTTTGTTTATATAATAAGATAGATAGTGTTTGAACTGTCCTTCCTATGCTGGTGCAGATTGGTGCAAACACACAAATGAGAAAAAGGAGGAAGAGCAGAGGTGTTAAGAAAGAGCAAGAAACACAGATTGTTGCCGCCACAGCCTGTGCAAGGTTTTCACCTGACGGAATGCATCTTGCTTCTTGTTGCTCGTTTGATGCTTTCATAAAGGTTAGCTGTTCTGGACTCTACTTTTAAAAGTCTTAAAAGTGATCAGACTCTAAAGAAATAAAACATTGCATTGCAGATTTGGGATTACTCAACTGGAATCTTGAAGATGTCTTTCCAAGACCAAACTGAAGTAAACTCTTGTGTTCACCTTTTTTCTTTTTTTTTTTTTTTAAAACGTTGTGTTATAGCACAGGACAGGGGTCTTATTAGCTGTGTTAAATTCTGACAGGATGATCATCTCCTCTGTATTGAGTTTAGTCAAGATTCCAAAAGGCTTGCTTCTGGTTCAAAAAATGGTAACATCAAGCTCTACAATACAATAACCCGTGAGCTACTAAGCAGCTCATTGGACCACAAAGCGAGGTTCATTTCCTTCACTTCTTTAACGTTTTTATTCTTTTTTGAATCAACTTTATCATTGATATTTTGTTTTATATATGGTAGAATACATGATTTGGGCACTTTGGAAATGACGAAAGAGTTCTCAGGGCATAGTGATTCCGTTAATTGTGCAATCTACTTCTCAACCGACAGAATACTCACAGCCTCACAAGATTGCACAGTAAAAGTAAGTTAAGTGACTGCAAAATATCATCTGTAGAGAAACTTAATAATCTTAGTCTTTTCTTCTTTTTTTTTTTGTTTATTTGAATATTTGCAGGTGTGGGATCCAAAAACAACCACGTGTCTAATGACAATTGAACCAGCACTTTCTTTGAACGTATGTACTCTTTCACTAAAACTTTATCGTATGTTATTTTTTATTTCATGTGTGGCTAAGTCTCAGCCAAATATGTTTCTTGCAGAAGAAAAGAGCCCCTGTCAACTCTATTCATATGTTGCCCACAGAGTTAGGAAAAGTCCTTGTTTGCAGCAAGACTTCATCACTCTCAATCATTGACTGCTTTCAAGGAAAGCTTGTGAGGACCTTAACTTCCAAGGTTCAAGGAAGTGCATTCATTGCCGCATGTGTATCTCAGAAAGGAAACTTCATATATGCAGTTGGTGAAGACGGCATGGTCTATTGTTTTGATTATAAGACGGGGGAATTGAAGCATCGGCTAGAGGTGAAAGGAGTAAGTGTATCACACCATCCATGTAGAAATTTAATTGTCACCTGCAGCAAAACAAGCTCCTTAAAGCTTTGGAGTGGGTGGAGGAGGTGATGAATGGATGACACGTGATGGAGATTGTTTGTAAAGAGGTGATGAATGGATCGCTGATGATAGGGAGATGATGTTTTTTTTGTGTGTATTCTTTTTTCTTGAAATTCTAGTGGTTAAACGTGTATAGAACGTGTCAGCCCATTCTGATTTTTGTCAAAAACTTTATTCATTTCTTTTAATAAAGTTCTAGGTGTTAAGAATAAGATGCATTTGTATCTAACATCTCAAACCTACAATGAATCTATGTAACACTGGGTACACATATCTTTAACTTCTCATGGACACCACACTTTCTTTTTATGCTCATGGTCGCTGGAGACGCCAGAGGCTTCACCACAGGATTGACAAAGAGGTTCTGTTTGAAAACCTCTCTTAGACATTTGGGTGGCTATGAACTACCAGAAAGTTCCTGAGCTTTGGCGGCACATTAAACAATTCCATACTGCTTGGAAGAGTGCTCTCACTCTTTTTCTCACTGACTTCATTGCTTTTTTCTCAGCCTTCTTCTCTTCAAATCTAATAAAACATCTTGGCTTCAATTCCTTAGCCATCTTTGGCATCAATCAACAAAACATCAAGTTCGGCTTTCCCCAACCAAAATCAGCCTCTCTTACACCAGCTATTACTCATCCACTGGTCCATCTGATTTCCTCTTCCAAATGCGCTTTCCCAAACTCTTCCAAAAGCTCAATTTCCTCTTAATCCCCAAACCTCCTTCGCTGAACATTGCTAAAGAGGTTGCATCGAAACGCAGATTGTGATAGCCAATACTCCACAGTTGAAGAAATTAGCCTGGATCAGTAACACAGGCCCATGTGACTGCTCCTCTTTGACTTAGCTTCAATAGGAATCAGTGGTTCCAACGATTCAGGAACAGCAAACTTGAGAAACTCCCATCTTCTCCCGAGCTTCTATAAACATAGCTCCTTGATCATTACACTCACTCTATGGATAAAATTTCTGACAGAGATTTCTTCAGCTTAAAGGATGTCTTCTCTGATGAAGCAGACCCCTGAGGATATCAAGGAGAGAGAGATTCAGATTTCTCTTATCATTTGGAGTTGGAGAAGACGGTTTGGTTGTTTCTCTTGCAATGATCTCAACTTTCTTCTCCATTATTACCCACCCACAAAATCTTTCTCAACTTTCTGGTGACAGACACCCTTAATATCACTTCACTTGAGTGAAGATCCTTGATGAGATAAAGGTAAAGATTCCTGCAACACCCATACTATTATTATTGACTATGAAAAGCAAATAAAGAATAAGGGCTGAGTCCTCCGATCCAGAGGCTTGCATCAAAGAATGCGTGGAACTCTGCAGCCGTCAAACCAAAATCATAAACCTCAGCGAGCTTGTTGAGGGTGATAATAGGAGCATCATTCTTTGTGAGTGAACTCATTTTAGAGAGCGCATCTATCTTATCTTCTTGGAGTGTCTCGGGTACCTGTCAAGAACAAACGCCAGCTCTATGCTTTAGAGTTCCCAATGATTCTTCAAAGGTATATGTATGGGGATATTCAATCAGAATTACTGAGAGCCAGAAGATAGATGCAGAGAACAGAGTCAAGAAAACATGAACTCGGTCAAAGCAGATAGGATATGCCAAAGAGAGAATGCAGATTGAAAAATTAATGTTCCTCTTTGCTTCTGCACACAGCTATAGCCTTCTCTTATCTTTCAGATACCATGACTAGTTTTTTAACCTCAACTCCTACTGTTTCAAAGCTCTTACCTCTTGAATGTTGAAACTGCGCTCTCATTGTAACCATAGAAATCAGATGTGTTTATGGATTAGTACCTGCTCACAAAATCGTCAAACGGCGTCTTCTCGCATTCCACTAGCAGAAGATCAAATCGAAACCATGTTACGCAGACCCAACATTCGATGATAGTTGATCAAAAGGTATGACTGAGGAGATGACAGTCATGGAGGTAGTTCCTTGTTTGGAATTCAACTTTTTCTCCCCGTGGCGTTTTAGGTTTTTATTGCCAATATCGGTGATGCTAAGGCTGTTTTGGCACGATCCTCTACTCCCAGTGAGATGGGGAATCATATAGAAACATGTAATCCACTCAAAGGAATTCTTTTGACAAGAGAGCACAAAGCAATTTATCCACAGGAGCGTTCTCGCAGTCAAAAGGTAAGATTAGCCTATGATGAGCCAGACAGTGATCTCCTAGAGTACACCATGCTCTGTTAATAACTTGGTATAAGTTTCGCAGTCAGGTGGTGTTATAAGCTCAAATGGACGGTTACAAGGGCGTCTTGATGTTTCTAGGGCTTTTGGTGATCGTCAATTCAACAAGGTAATGATTCTTTGCCTTCCTGGAAGTTCTTGAAAACCTATATCAGTTCAACTCCAAACATTAATCTTCATGGTTCTAACATAAGTCATTGAATCCAGTTTGGTGTCACTGCAACTCCGGACATTCATGCATTTGAATTAACCGAGAGAGAAAACTTTATGATTCTTGGTTGCCATGGATTGTGGGAAGTAAGCTCTTTGTTCTCTATAAGAACATCCCGTTGGTCTTTTTGAATTCAAAGTTGGCTCAGATAATGCATCCTTTTTCAGGTATTTGGACCAAGGTTTGTTCAGAAACTCTTCAAGGTAAAGAACCTACACTTGTCAAGAAACCCAGATATACAAGTTTTTAGATAGCCATGCGAGCAAATGGTCTTGTAAGATTAATAAGAGCTGTTATTATTTTGCAGGAGGGCTTGCCTGTAAGCTCAATAAGTTGTCGTCTTGTAAAAGAACGCCGTTGCAAGGAAAAGCCGGTGGCCATCTGTTTTCTTTGGCTTGTGTCAGAGTTTATTTGATAACTCTTTTTTTTAGCTGTTAAATGGTTTTGCAGTTAATGGGCCAATTGTATACTCTCGAGAGCATTGAAAGGAAAATGGAATTGAGGTTCAAAAAGAGCTCTCTTTGTAGTGCAAAAAAAGTAAGGAACTTTATTATTATTGTAGTGCACAAAAAGTAAGGAACTTTACTATCGTAGTAGTACAAGATGATCAGTTTACAATGAATAAGAAAGCAAATGGGGCAATGAATTATTATCAATGTGAATTTAGGGTTTGAAATTAAGCCAAAAACAAATAATAAATCGCCAACATACACAAGCAGCAGTAAATATGACAATTTAACAATGTTATGGTCTCACCAGAGCATTACTTATTGGAACTCGAGGTCAAGTTTCCTCTTTAAATGTGATCTGTCAGTACAAAACGAAAAAGCAAAAAAAAAAAAGACCATTCAAAAACGCATTCAATTTTGAAGCTGCAAAAAGAAACTGAGACGACCAATCTGAGTCTAGTAGTACCTGGTGATGGTAGGGCGATTTGGAAGGCGCTCAGCGAGGATGGTTAAATCTAAAGACATGGGTGCTTCCCACGCTCAGGCATCACTCTTCTAAGCTTGCGTGGTGGTGATATCACTTTAGTGGACGGTTTGTCATAGCAAGTCAAGAGCATCTTCACTAACTGCTGGAAGTAAAGAGCGTAGAGAAGGTGCAGAGACATATTGATACTCTACATAATCTGGAAGGTTTGTCAAATCAGGCCACTGATCTGCTTTTGGCTTAATTGATCAATATCACTGTTTCCCTGCAACAAAAAGGCAAATCAAATAAGTAAGCATACCAAAAGGAATAATAATAAAGGAGTCTAAGATCCAACGAGATGGAAGATTGGAGTAAGATTTAATGTTAGCCATGATGAGTTGAGTAAAGATTATTTCACCTGAAGAAATGGTCTGCGTAGCAGAAGTTCAGCGAATATGCAGCCAGCAGCCCAAACATCAACTGCAGCACCATATTTTTTAGCACCAAACAAAAGTTCTGGTGCTCTGTACCATCTAGCAAACACCTGTGCATCATTACGTATATCAAGATACAAAGGTAATATGGAACAACTAGAAACAACAGAAAATAAGGTGCATTCCGCATCTAGAAAGAGACCTCTCGCGGATTCTATTGTAATCATGGGTGTTCAAAGGGAAACAAAGATAGGCAGGAATGAGATAGATAAACCCTTGAAAAACAGCATGATGAGTAGAAACAGTAACCAAAAGAGAGAAATCAAATTTGTATGATCCTCTTTGGCTGACCTGTGATATAAAGCAAGAATGGATACATATCTGAGAACATCGCAATGTGACCTGGTGCATAATTTGGATCCACAGGTCTAGTCTCAGAGGCTGCAATATATTATTGACAACGAACACGTGAGCTCAGTCCAAAACAGATTCAAAGCTACAAGATTTAAGATGCATATGAGTAACACCTGAATCAAAAGTCGACAAGGCTTCCCAAAAAAATCTGTAAACCACTGAGATGCTTCATCTCCTTCGTCAAGCGCAGAGCCAGACCACTCCCAAACTGAGACACCATGTGCTATTTTGTCCGGTTTAGCTAACGAAACCTTAAGGGCATCCATACCAGGTGCTCTAACCCCACTGGAGACCGCAGCCAAAAAAGGACTTATCTTCATAAATGGGGAACACAGTTGAAGAAGAAGAAGAAGAAGACAGTAAAAACCAATCTCCTTATAATAAATGGGGAACACAGTTGAGGTGTCGTGTACCTTTCTCGATTGGTTCTTATTAGGAGGACTTATCTTCATAAATGGGGAACACAGTTGAAGAAGAAGAAGAAGACAGTAAAAACAAATCAAGTCACTTGGCAGGTATCTATTCTCTTGCTCACATTCAGTGCCATTACTCGCATACCATAACACGATCTCCTGAAGATTGAAATTGGAACTAAGGAACCGAAGTTATTACAAAGCAATCCCAAAGTACCCATTTTCTTATAGTAACCTTTCACATGGAAAAAAAAAGAGAGAGAGAGAGAGAAGATGATAGAGTTACCCTAAGGTTCCAAACAGATGATAGAGTTACGCTAACTCGCTAAGGTTCCTCAAATCTAAATTTGTTGTAGCTCATGAAGTGTGTTTGGTTGAATAAATAGAGGAACAGAGGCATTCATCATTCTAAATACCCAGAAACAGAATTGAAAGCATAGATAGACTTTAAAAATATTAATCGACAAGAAGATGAACTAGACGACACTTCCGAGCAGAAAAGGAAAACCCAAAATAGTCGCATGAAAAGATGAAGTGAAAGAGGCAGTTTAACGCGAAGCAGAGCCTGATGAAGCAAAATATCAATACAATACTTGACGAGCACAAGAGTAATTGCAAATTAGATAAATCACACACACACAAAAGAAAGCAACTTATATGTGATTTTAAATGAAAAAATAGTTTAGACAAAGGAGTGAGAGAATATTCAGACATAGGTAAAACCAGCATATAACAAGTTAAGACCTACACATGAATGTGAGAGGACAGCACCGGACCACTCAATCTTGCCCCAAAGCTCGCATTCCTCGGGTCTCGCGTCTTTCAGCAGGGAAATCTCGGCACACCAAAGCTCCAAAGTCAGCGGGGCTTTCCAGAAGATGAAAATCCTCCAAGCAGAGTTGCAGCAGAGTTTGCAGATATCATAACCAGAGAGCTCTTCTAAACCCTTGACTTGCTTCCAATCCAAGTCATCTGGCAAACACCAAAGTATCCTCCCGCGGGTATCACCGCAGAAAAAGAATGACGACCCAAAGCAACACCAATCGGTTCTGTACTGTGGCTCAGAATCTGTTTTCCCGGTTGCCACAAACACACATTTACCTGGTGAAAGGGACAAGTTGTCACCATCCTCATCCACCACGTAAACCTCCTTCTTGTCTGTCACCACACTCCACTGGATGTTGAGGGGCATCTTGGGCGTAAACACAAACAAGAAATCCCAAGTCTTGGTCTCGATATCGAACACCTCTGCCCAGTTTGAGGAATCAGCGACATCCCAGCATCCCCCAAACACGTGTATCTTCCCGTTTGCCATGCTTGCCGATGCTCCGCTTCGAGCCATCTTCATGGGCGGAAATCGGTTCACTGTGTGCTTGACACAATCGAAAAACGTGACTTCCGAAGTGGGTTTTCCGTTCACGAGTCCACCTATAACATAGATTCCCCAATGTCTCGCCACGATACAGGATCCTGCTTCCGGCGCCGGATACAATCTCGAAAAGACCCGTTTCAGCCGACGTTGCACGGGGTGGAGGATGAACCACTGCGGGCTTGGATCTGGAAACATGTGCAAATATACGTACAGAGATGGCTCCGTGCAACCCATCCGCCATCTCAAGTGTCCGAGAGCATGGGACGCTACCAGATTCCGGTGTTCCTTGGAGGCGATAGCTACGGCAGCCAGATCCAATCTCGACAATTGAGCCAGGCAGCTCATAGCCACCGCATCTGGCAACCACAATAACCCACACACCTTCCTCGTCAATTCCAATTCACTACATCCCCGAATCTCAAATCTTCCTTTCATTGATTTATTACCTACCGGAGGGATCAATTTCCCTTCTACCGCTAGGGCTTTTCGTGTCACAAACTGTTAAAAAAAGTTAGTGTTAGTCTGAAAAAAAAAAAGTTAGTTTTAGTTTTATAATAAATAAATAAAAAATTAGTGTTAGTCTGAAAAAAAAGTTGCAATATGTTAAAGGGTCAATTAGGTGTATAACCATATTTGATAAGCAAATGAAGAATATAGCATCATAATCTTAGAAATTAAGTCAATAGCACAAAGTCGTTGAGAATTACCATTTTGGGTTTTGGTGAGAGGCAAAAATAATTTCTCTATCCTACATGGAGCAAAAAATAATTATACCCCATGGCAAGTTTTTTTGCTTTAATAATTGTTGTAAGAATTTATTCAATTTTGTGATTCTGCTAAAAATCATATTTTCTTTTTTTACATATGATATAGTTTGGATTTTTTAAATCGGATACGTATTTTTTAAAATAGTAAATAGTTTGACACAGTGTTCTAAAAAGCGGTCTAGGCGGTCGCCTAGGCTCCGACTAGGCGCTAGGCTCTTATGCGACGCCTAGATAACCGCCTTGACCGCCTAAAATTACACAGATCTTGTTTAATGTATTTTTTCAATTTTAATTAGAGTTTTATTTTTATATATAGTTATAAATATTCATATATTATTTAATATAAATATAAATAAATGTTTTATCTAATTTTTGTTTATAATTTCATAATTTTTAGTTTTATATAGATATTTTATATAACTTTTATATATAATATCATATTTATAATATTTTATGTTATAAACGTCTAAACCGCCTAAATAATCGCCTAGGCCCCGATTAGACGTTCTAGGCGCTAGGCATTGGGTCACCGCCCGCTTAGCGCCTAGCGCTTTCTTGAACACTTTGACATAAATAAAGTAGTATAGAATAAAGTGAAAACAGTATAGAAACGAAGCGTAGTGGCTATGATGATTCTGGAGACGGTGTGGTGGTGGTGGTTACGGTAATAGTGATAGTGTGGTGGTGGTAGACTGGTATTGGTGATGGCATGGTGGTGATGGTTGCGTCGCGGAGACTATGGTGGTGATGACATGGTGGTAATGGACTAATGGTTGTGGTGGTGGTGGTGATTATAAATGGAACGAGACGTAGTGGCCATTATCACTTTGAGGAGGTCGACGATGACTAAAGGTTTCTCTCTAACAGCGTGTTGGTGTGACGGTGTGATAGTGGTTGCGGTGATGGTGTGGTGGTGGTTGTGGTGGAGATGGTGGTGATGGCATGGTGAAAATGGTGGTGGTGGTGTTTATAAATGGAACGAGATGTGGTGGTAATTATGACTTCGATGAAGTCGACCATGATAAAAGGTTATGGTGGTGAGTGGTGACGGTGTGATAGTGGTTACGTTGACGGTAGAAATAAATAGTACAGTTAAAAAGAAGAGTGAAAAGAAGGTAAGAAACAAGGGTAAAATGGCAAATATTATAGAAAATATACGGAATATTATCCACTTTTTTTGTTTTGGTTAGTTAGTAAATTATTAAATTTTTGTTGGTTATTGATGCAAATTTTCCTATGTTAAATCGTAAAAAGGAAAAAATCGTTAAAAAGAATTAGTGTTAGTCTCAAATTTTCTTAAACTATGAAAAAAAAAATTCTATAATACAAAAAAATGGTTAGTTTTAGTTTTCTAATAAAATAAGTTTTATTTTCCTAACAAATAAAAACGAAAAATACGAAATGTTAAATCGTAAAAAGAAAATATTATCTACAAAAAGGAAAAAAATCGTTAAAAACAATTAGTGTTAGTCTGGAAAAAAAAAAGAGTTATAGTAAATGAAAGTAACTATTAATCTGAAGAAAAAAAAGAGTCGGTTTTAGTTTCCTAATAAAAAGAAAAATTTGCAATTTTTTAAATCGTGAAAAGGAAAAAATCGTTAAAAAAAAAGTTAGTGTTAGTCTAACAAAAAAAAAAAAAAGAAGTTAGTTTTACTTTTCTAATAAAGTTAGTTTTAGTTTCCTAACAAATAAAAATAAAAATAAAAATTTACAAAAGGTTAAATCGTAAAAAGGAAAATTCTATCTACCCAAATCGTAGTTAATTTATGTATAAATAGTCATCTAATCCATTATTTCACATCATAACTAACCCCTACATTTTTTTGCTTTGATATTTACGATTTAATTATGGCATGGTATTTTATTGAAATATTAATGGTGTTTAGTTTTATGTCTTGACTAGGGTCTAGGAGTGTCAAAATGAGCTACCTCGCTCAACTCGGCTCAGCTCATGATGAGCTCGGACATTTCATGAGCTAACTCAGCTCAGCTCATTTATTAGATGAGCTTCAATATATAAACTCGGACTCAGATCATCTTGGTCACGAGTTAAATGAGCTAGCTCGCGAACTTATAACAAATAAATATAATAACAAAAATAATGTAAATTTGTTTTAAAAAATTAAAATAAATCCAATAACATAATTAATTCTAAAGTTAAATATTGGAAATAAATCCAAGAAAAATAATCTCAAAACACCAAACAAAAAAAATCTCAAATAATAAATCCTAACAATCAAATTAAATTAATTAAAGATAATAGAAATATGGAATGATCAAGAATCTATTCCTTGTTACTCTTGCTCTTGAGATGATCCTACAACAACATCTTCATTGTCTTCATCTACAAGTAAACGTTTTAGATAATATCTAAATAGGATAATTCCTTTCTTTTTTTTGAGAAACGTTTTAGATAAATTTTTAAAAGGATTATTTCTATATATTACTTATATTATCTTCTAAAATTAATATGTAAAAACACACAAATTTTATAAAAGAATAATTCTATTTTTGTTTCATTTAAATGGAAAATATATATAAATATATATATTTCTAAAAAAAGTCGAGCTCATGAGCTAGCTCATGTTCATTAAAGCTCGCTCATATAACTCGCGATCTGAAAAAAGCTCGATCACATAACTCATTTATTAAATGAGCCTAAAAACAGAGCTCGTGCTCATGAAAAATCGAGCTGAGCTGAACCAGCTCATGAGTTGCGAGCTCATTTTGACACCTCTATGTCTTGTAGGTTGGATTTGTAAAAATTATGACGTGAATCGATCAAAAATTTTGGATATTGTTCAATTGATCAACATGTCCTAATATATATTGTAAGCATAATATTTTTTTTGTTTTTCTTTATGAATCTATGAGTTTTTTTAGTGTTCCAATTTTTACGTCGATAATCTATAAGAAAATATTGGAAAGATTAATTTGATATTTTAGTGTGATAAATTCTCATTGAATCTTGGTATTAATATTTATTAATGATCAAAAGGTCCATCAATAATTAGTAAAGAGTTGAGTTTATATTGTGAATGTTTAATGGTTGGTATTAGGCCTGGGCATTCGGGTACCCGTTCGGGTTCGGTTCTTTTTTTTCGGGTATCGGGTCTATTCGGGTAGGGGGTCAAGACCCATTCGGGTATTCTAAAAATTTGGTTCGGGTTCGGTTCGGGTTTGGGTCGGTTCGGGTATTTTAATAAAAAAAACAAAATATCCGAAAATAACCAAAAATACCCGAAATATTTTCGGGTTCGGGTCGGGTTCGGGTTTTTAACTCATATATACCCAAACTAACCGAAATACTCGATTTATCGAAAATACAATGGTTACTTTTTACCCAAATATAACCAAAAATATCTAAAATACCTAATATATTCGGATTTATGATTGTAATTTTAGGTATTTCGGGTATTATAAATATAAATATAAATAATATTTATAGGTGTATATTTGTATTCGGGTACATTCGGGTACATTCGGGTATTGGATTCGGTTCGGGTTCGGTTCGAGTTTTTTTCGGGTAGGAAGTTAGGACCTATTCGGGTATTTTTAAAAATTGGGTTCGGGTTCGGTTTGGGTATTGTTCGGGTTTTTCGGTTCGGGTATTCGGTTCCGGGTATTTTGCCGAGGCCTAGTTGGTATCTGCGCTTCCAAACTGTGAATAAGGTAGTATCGAAGTCTATTTTTTGGTTATTTGTTGTGTTTAAATTATTTTTGGTGATTTTTAGCTACCACCGATTGATAATTTCTCCACCTGTTCAATTATTTTTAGGGATGTGTTGAAACCACCAATTTCTTTTTTTTATAATTTTTTTGTAAATATTATTAATTATACAATATTTTTACTAAACTATAATTAAGGAGTAAGACTTCTTGATATGTCTTCATGTTGACGTAATTTGTAATCAACCTTTACGAAATCTTCGGGTTACATCTGTCATTTCGGCTTCTATTTTTTGTTTGGTCGTAAGAGAGTCAACTGTAATTTCAGTACCTTTAGTGAGCACGTTTCTCAAATATTGAATATATGGTCTACTTTTGCATTCAAAACCAAATAAAGGTCTAGAAAAAAAAAATTTGCCCCATATATTTTTAACATTTTTTTTTTACCAAGATTAGGCCTGAGCATTCGGATTTCGGATCGGATTCGGTTCGGATTTATTCGGATTCGGATAATTCGGGTAGGAGATTTTATTATCCGTTCGGATTTTATGACTATTCGGATCGGGTTCGGTTCGGATAGTGTCGGATTCGGATCAGTTTCGGATTAATTTTGGATCGGTTTGCGAGGAAAAAAAACTAAAAAAATGTTCAATTTAAATAAAAAATAGTTTTAATCTTACTAAAATTTTGCTATGTTTTCCAAAAATATGTATAATTTAACAAATATAACTAAAAACTTTCCGATATCTAGGTTATTTATGATATTTTTATTATTTGTTATAAAATTATAGCTAAATATAACTAATATTTTTGGATATATAATTTTATTTTCGGATTTCGGATATCCTTTCGGTTTTCGGTTCGGATAATTCAGATAGGAGAATTCATTATCCGTTCGGGTTTTGTGACTATTCGGTTCGGATTCGGAGCCGGATTTTTTGGATCGGTTTTGGATCGGTTTTTGGATTTCGGATTTTATGCACAGGCCTAACCAAGATTATGTTGGGCTGGGCTCAAATATCTTTACTATAGAATATGTTAAGTACTTTTATATATGCCATGATTCTTTTCCTTTTCTGGTCAGTTACTATAGAATATGAAACAAAGATTCAAAAATATGAGTTTAAAAGTAAAAAAATTACGTTTCATTTGTTCCTTTTCTGGTCAATTACGTTCGATTTTATATTATACATGGATATCAAAGTGAAAGGTTTCTAGGTCTTATATATTTCGATATTTTTCTTAAAAAGAAAATTCTAACTCTTGTCACGGTTTTCTTAATTTCCGAAAATATGCATTTATCTACAGATTTCAAACTTGATTAATGGGTAATAAAACGATAGTTCGTAATGCCTAACTAGTATACACATTAAAAAAACAATCTGAACAAATCAGACTTGTTTTATAGTTCCGATGTAATAGTTGGAAGCTGCTAATAGAGATCTGGAAATTACACTAATTAATACGTATATATTATAAAAAAAATTGTTGTATCACTACAAGAAAAATAAGCATCGGTAACACACGGAAACTGCTACTAAAGGGATTTCGTAGCGAAACTACAAACGCTGTATAATGAAGAGCTACGGTAGACCCCCTCCTACCGTAGCAGTTTTTACGCGCTATGATAAATTGACCTATTATAGCGCTATTACTCAGCTATTTAATATTCTTAACTAGCGCTTTATTTTTGCTATTATGTTATTTTTAATAACAAATATTTCGTGTTGTGTAACTTGTAATGATAACACACTATATCTGCTGGTGGATATTATTAACTAGCGCTTCACTCGTGCTATTATGTTTGTTTTTATAGCAAACTTTTTGTGATGTCTAACTTGTAATGATAACACATTATATGTGCTGGTGGATATTGTTTCGTGACATTTTGTTAATGCTTTTTAATGCTGCTGTAATGTATATTATTATGTGCTATATTTCAATTATTTGAAACCTATATTGCACAAAACATAGATTGCAAATTGATTCATAAATAAAATTAATATTATATAAAACATACATTTTACAAAGAATCATTCTATCAAATACCCAAAAGATACAAAGAAGGCTTGAATCACCAACCAAGTCATAAAGAAAAAAAACGCAAGTACATTTCTTCACCAAACCAAGTCATAAAGAAACCGAGGCAGCTCTAGTAGATCTCCAACTCATACCATTTAACAGCCAACGCCATTCCTTGTCTTCTTTTACAGTTGCTTCAAGCTATAAACTAACTTTGATTAAAGAAAAATTGAATTAAAACCAAATCCTTGTCTTTTTTTACCTCCTTTGTCTTAATCCCAGTCTCTGGTGTCTGCAACATCACGAAAAACCAACACTTTTAATAAAAAAACCACACATCTCAAACAAAGTTGAAGCAGATTGGTCTAAAGTCTCAACCTTTCTAATACTCACTTCAATTGGAAAGGACAAACAAACAAAAAGACATAACAATCTACCGATTCATTCAATTTCGGATGTTTAAAAATCTACCTTGAAGAGGATATGATCGAGATTAAGCTGGACATCTTTCAAGGAATCACGAACATGACGACGCGCCGAAGCTTCGTCAATATTAACCTCCTTGAGTCGCCCAAGCTCCTCATTGTCTAGCTTCGCATCAGAGCCATCGATCTCTTCTTTCGCCACACCAAACTTCCTTTATCTACAAACCCCAAAGGTGATGTTTGTTGATGTTTGTCTCAGGCGAAGCTTGGGTTTTTACTGTCAAACAAATAAACAATTGTTAGATTCAGTTGAACAAAACTCTTATAATGGTATCAAAAGAAACAAATAAACAATTTTCTTTCAAATAAACAAATAAACTCTTATAATGGTACCTTCGACAGACCATTCTTCTTCTTCGTCTTCTTCTTTGGTTCTCTCAGATTCGAGTCGGAGATGGCAATGAATTTTAGGTTTGAAGAAGTAGAAGAAGTAGTGTTACAAGAGGAAGAGTTTGTTACGAAGAAGATAACAGAATTTCGTTTATTTCACTTGATTAATCTGAACATTACAGACTCGATTATATATCAAGATAATCCCGGTTTAATCCGGTTTACAGACTCAATTATGGTTTATGATAAACCATACTCTAATAGCCTCCCTCAAGATGGCAAGTATATAGAATGAAGTGCCATCTTGCCAATAAGAGTCTTGAAATGAGCTGGAAACAGAGGCTTGGTGAACACGTCTGCAATTTGTTGATCTTTTTTGACATGAAGAGTCTTAATCAAGCCACTGATGACCTTGTCTCGAACAATGTGGCAGTCCAGTTCCACATGTTTTGTGCGTTCATGAAACACAACATTATTAGCAATATGAATAGCTGCTGTTATATCACAGAAGAATGGTACCGATTTGGTTTGAGGCGCCTGAAACTCTCTGAGAAGGTTAACAAGCCAAGCTACATCTCTTACTGCAAACTCCATAGCTCGATACTCAGACTCAGCTGAAGAATGTGATGTAGTCGGTTGTTTCTTAGACTTCCAAGAGATTAATGATTCTCCCAGAAACATACAAAAACCAGAGGTAGACCTCCTTGAATCACGACATGATGCCCAATCCGCATCAGTATAAGCCTGTAGGATCAGGTTACAGTCTGCAGAATAAAAGAGACCAGTACCAATCGTACCTTTGACATAATGCAAGACTTTGCAGGCTGCTTGCATGTGAGATTCCTTAGGAGCTGCAGTAAATTGACAAAGTCTGTTCACTGCATATGTAATATCAGGCCTTGTGATTGTAAGATACATCATTTTCCCCACTAAGCGTCTGTAAGCTGCAGGGTCTTTCATCGGTGGTTCATCTCCATCTGAAACCAATTTCAGACTTGGCTCCATAGGTATACTGGATGGTTTACATGCTAGTAAACCTATTTCTTCAAGTAAACCCAACGCATATTTCCGTTGACAAACAGAGATTCCTGAAGCATTGCGAGCTATCTCCAAGCCCAGGAAATACTTGACTGAGCCTAAATCTCGTAGCTTAAAAGCTTTCTGCAAATCCTCTTTGAGCTGACTGACTTCTGTATCATCATTACTGGCAATGATAATATCATCAACATATACAAGCACTGCAACATACTTCCCATTCACATTTCTCACAAACAAAGTGTGATCAGCCTGTGATTTTTGAAATCCCAGAGACATTAATGTGGTACTAAATTTAAGAAACCACTGTCTTGAGGCTTGTTTTAAACCTTATAGTGACTTTTTCAACTTACAAACTACATTAGGTGGAAGAGCTTCACCATCCTTTGCAGTGTATCCAGGTGGAAGAGTCATATATATTTCCTCTTCTAGATCACCATTAAGAAAAGCACTTGAGATGTCCAACTGTTGTAAACTCCACTTCTTTGCTGCTGCAACTGCCAATAAGGTCTTGACTGTTGTCATTTTTGAAACAGGTGAAAAAGTATCAACAAAGTCAACTCCCTCTTGCTGTGTATAACCTTTGGCAACCAACCGTGCCTTGTAACGCTCTAAACTTCCATCAGCGTTTAACTTGACTTTATAAACCCAGCGACAACCTATAGAATGCATACCTGAGGGTAAAGAACAAATCTCCCACGTTGCAGTACCCTCCAAGGCTTTTAATTCTTCATTCATTGCGTTTAACCAATCATCTAATTTTCTGGCTTGAGCAAAAGATATCGGCTCTGCATATTTAGTAACAGAATAAATGTAGGCTCTATATGGTGGGGATAAACCATCATAGCTCAGAAAATCAGAAATAGGATGATGAACCCCATTAGTAGATAGATTACAGTAATAGTCTTGCAGATAAGCTGGAGTTTTACTTGTTCTGCGATCACCTTTCTGAGAAATAGTGTTATTAATAGGAGTAGAACTGCTAGCTGTATCAGTCACAACTTTAGGAGTCTCACTCACAACTCAGGACTATCAGTAGAATCAACAGTATTATCCTCAACAATAGCTTCTGCAGAAGGTGAAAAGAAATCTTGCAGAACAGTAGACTCACCTTTAGCAAATGGAAATATATCCTCATGAAACACCACATTGCGTGATATGTATATGTCATTGGTTTCCAAATCCAGAAGTCTATAACCTTTAACCCCTGGTGGATATCCAAGAAATACACACGCCTTAGCTCTTGGTTGAAATTTGTTCTTGTTTTTAGTAGACGTTGAGCTATAACAAAGACAGCCAAACACACGTAATCCACTGAAATCAGGAACCTTATGAGTAAGAACTTCAAATGGAGACTTGTCTTTAAGAAGAGGTGTAGGTAGTCGATTGATCAGGAAGACTGCAGTCAAAACACACTCTCCCCAATATTCAATAGGAACTTGAGCTTGAAACATAAGAGATCTTGTAACATTTAATATGTGCTGATGTTTTCTTTCCAGTACTAAGTTCTGCTCTGGTGTTTCTGGACAAGAAAAGTAATGTAAGATACCTTTAGCTTTGAATAGCTCCACAAACTTCAACTCTGGAGCATTGTCTGATCTCACACCTTTAACTTGTGTTTTATACTGAGTCTCCACCATCTTCAGAAAATCTGGAAAGATAGTCAACACTTCACTTTTATTCTTCAAGAGATACAACCAAGTAACCCGTGTATGATCATCTACTATGGTCAAGAAATACCGATATCCATCTGGTGTAGGCACATTAAATGGACCCCAGATATCAATATGAACAAGATCAAAAGCAGATTCACAGACATTATTCTTTGAGGGAAACGGGAGATGCTTCTGTTTTGCAAGAGGACAAACATTGCAATGAAAAGATCTTTTATTTCTTTGATTGAATCCAAGTACATCAGTAACTATAGTGGAAGTAGCTACAGACGGATGACCTAGTCTACTATGCCAAAGACTAGAGTCAACAACAATATTTGTAGAAAAAGTTCTCTTCTGGTCTGTTAAATCTTTAATACTCTGCACATCCAGAACATATAAGTTAGAGATTTGTTCACCTTTACCAATCATCAGCCCCTTGATATGATCCTGTATTATGCAAGAATCCTCATCAAATGTTACTCTGTACCCCAAATCCTTTGTCAGCTGACTGATACTCAGAAGATTTAGTCGAAAATCCGGAATATAAAGCACATTATTCAAGATGAGAAACTCATTCAACTGAACTGTACCTATACCTGTGATCTTAACTCCAAAACCAGTAGGTAAGGTTACAGAATTATTCATTGTTTCAGACAAATTCAGAAACAAACTCTTATCATGACAAACATGATGAGTTGCTCCACTGTCTATTATCCAAGATTCAGAGGATAAAACATTTCCAGTAGCTCTTAAAATACCAACAAAACCAATAGTAGAAGAAGAGAAAGCTATACCAGGTAAAGCAGTGATAGTAGCACCAGAAGTAGAAGCAACTGAAGGTGTCTGAATCTGAGAATTGAAGTATGCCACAACTCCATTAATCTGATCTTTAGTAAGAACCTTAGTCAAACCATTAATAAGATCATTTGTAGTAGTCTCTGTCATAGCCAACTGAGCAACAACCGGCTTAATAGTTGTGACATTCTTTTCTGAAGAAGAGCCCTTGTCTGACTGATTCTTGTGTTTATGTTTAAAGCCTAATGGGTAGCCATGGATCTTGTAACAGCGGTCAATGGTATGTCCTGTGTATCCACAATGAGTGCAAATGATTTTCTGTGGTTTGGCATTGTTGTATGTAGCATTGACAGACGGTTAAATTGAATCTGGTGCAGAAACATGGAAAGCAACAGCATTGGTTGGAACCGGTGTAAAACTCCTCTGATTGTGATCTTGATCCAAAAGATTGTAAACCTCAGCCAAGGATGGAACATGTTTCTTCATAATGATTTGAGTCCTTATGACAGAATAGGATTCATTCAAGCTTGCCAAAAACTTAATCACACGAGCATGATCTGCTTTCTTATCCACAGCCTTGCAACAATCACAATGTTACACAAAGTCACACAATCAGAACCATCAAGTTCATTCCACAAAGTTCTCAAAATCGTATAGTAAGTAGCAAGATCCATAGTACCCTGTTGCAGAGACCAAATCTGTTGAGATAAATGATATGATCTCGGAAGATTAGTAATACGATAACGAGTCAATAGATCATTCCATATCTCTGATGCATTATCAAAACGAAGAATACTTTTGTAGATCGGTTTCAAAACTGAGTTCAATAGCCAAGACTTCACTAAACTGTTACATCAGGACCAAATCCGGAATAAACGATCCGATTCAGGCGGTCGTGGGACAGATCCATCAATGAAAACAAACTTATTCTTTGCGTCTAAAGCAATCTTGATCGCAATTTGCAATCATCATAATTTGTTCCATCAAACACTTCAGAGATAATAGAAACTCCAGGATTATCACTATGCGTAAGATAATAAGGCGAATGTATACTGTCATGTGATTCAACAACTGGTTTACGAGTACGAGTACGAGTACGAGGTTCAGGCGAACCTTCCGGTGAAGAATCATCGCGATTTGCCGATTTACGAGCCGAAACAGGTACGTGAATCGTGCGACGAGTGAGTTTACGTCCTGGCGCCATCGGAGAAGCTCCAATTTCACGACGAAGGAAGTTTTTGTTGAAATTTTGATCGATACAACAATCTCTCGGCAAACAAACCGAAGAAATTGATCGAAAATAAGAAGAAAAGAATCAAATCTAGGTCAAGAATCGTATGAATGATTCACCATTCATGCTCTG